TCGGTCTGGCGAGAGCTCATCTGATCTCTTCACCAAGGCATTACCGGTAGATTTTGATAGTTAACTTCCTTCTTTTTTTACGAACATGTTGTGTTATGCAGGTTTGAATCCGTGACAAATATGATTGAATGATTTGTGTTATTCATTATTATGTGACCTAAAGGTCTCTATTTAATATTTATACAAGATACGAGCTCAACAAGATATGTTAATATCTAACAAAAGGAAATCTAAATATACGATATCTTCCTATATACTCGGCTATCAAGTCTATCTCCAATATTTTACAACACTCTACAAGGCGTTCTTAATTTCCAGAGAGGTTTTCAACCGCAAGACACCGATATAATCCTCGCTTCTTTCCCCAAATCAGGCACTACTTGGCTCAAAGCCCTCACTGTTGCCCTCCTCGAAAGATTGAAGAACCGTTCTTCTAATGATCATCATCTTCTGCTATCTGATAATCCTCATGGGATTGTTCCATTCTTTGAGATCGATATGTATAACGAAAGCTTAAGTCCTGACTTGGTCAACTTCTCATCATTTCCGAGGTTGTTCTCCACTCATATGCCACTACACGCTATGCATGAAACCCTCAAGGAATCTCCTTGCAAGATTGTGTACGTTTGTAGCCTTGTAGGGACGTGAAGGTCATGTTGATCTCTTTGTGGTTTTTCGGGTGCGCTATTCATAAAATAGAACTAGATAAAAATCTGCTCGGGTCTATGTTTAAATCGTTTTGCAGCGGAACTGTCTATTATATATGGACCCTTTTGGGAACATCTTCTGAGCTATTGGAGAGAAAGCTTGGAAAACCCCAACCATGTTCTATTCATGAGGTACGAGGAGATGAAAGCAAAGCCTCGTGATCAGATCAAGAGACTTGCCGACTTCTTGGATTGTCCTTTTACTAAAGAAGAAGAAGAGAAAGGATCGGTGGACGAGATCTTGAACTTCTGCTCAGGGGCGGAGGGAATGCACAACTATAGGGGTCAATTGCCCCTGGTGGACTTTAAAAAAATAGCTGAATTTTTATTAACAATATTAAATTGACCTGACCCTAGTCCAATAGAAATATTGACCCCTGTAAAATTTTATCTTAACAAAACTACAATATTTAAGCCCAATAATTATGTTGTAGTGTTGTACTTATATATAATATTAAGCCCAAGAAGATTTGTTTTAAGTAAATATATTATAACTAAGCCCATTAATATAAACTACCCTAATATTTTAACATTTAGTCTTAAAACGTTTTAGCTTCTTCTTCCTTGTTTTTTTATTTTCAATCCTAGATCATGAACTCGTGACTTCGTGAGATATTGGAATCAGCAAAGACATAAGATTGAAATCAGCAAAGACTTAAGATTGAAATTCTATGTACTTTTTTAGTTAAAAATTTTTTTTGACCCCTATGATTAGATTTTCTGGCTCCGCCACTGCTTCTGCTCTCTGCGTAATCTGAGCAGTTTGGAGGTTAACAAAACCCAAAAAACAAACAATGTGGATCACAAGAATTATTTCCGTAAAGGGGAAGTCGGTGATTGGAAGAACTATCTTACTCCTGAAATGGAGAGCAAGATAGACATGGTCATCCAAGAGAAACTTCAAGGTTCTGGTTTGAAATTCTAGAGGTATATATATTATAGTTTGTGTTTTCTTTGATGCTTAATAAGAGTACCCATTCGTTGTTATGTTCCTTAGTAATGTATTCTGGTTGTTGATTTGATGCGTTTTAAATTTAAATAGTCAAATAATGAATACTGAAGATTGATGTAATATCCTATACTAAATACTGAAGATTTTGAGGTAAACTCAGGCCCGGCCCTGGACAGATTTTAACAAAACATTTGTATTGGGCCTCAAATTTCCGAGGCCCACTTTGTGAGTTTTTTTTTTTTTTGTTTTCTTTTTTTTTGTTTTTTAAAGATCCCACAATTAGTAAAATATGCCTCAAAACTAGTAAAATAGATCTCAAAATTAACAAAAAAAATCCCATAATTAGTAAGAGCATCTCCAACCCACCTCTATATTTGCCTCTAAATTCTATTTTAGAGGTAAATTTGCTCCAACCCACCTCTATTCTCACCTCTAAAATAGAGATCTCTATTTTTTTCTCTATATATAGAGGTGAGAATAGAGAATCTCTATTTTTTCCTCTATAAATAGAGTTAAACTTTTTAGAGGAAAAAATAGAGGAACACATTGGAGTAAAAATAGAGAAAATTTACCTCTATTATAGAGATAGAGCTAAAAATAGGGAAATACATTGGAGATGGTCTAAGAAGGCCTCATAAATAGTAAAAATCTTATAATTAGCAAACAATGTCCAAAAATTAAGAAAAAATGTTAAATAAAAATTATAAATGGCCCATAATTAGCAAAAAAAAAAAAAATTTTAACAGTTTTTACTTATTAAAAAGGCCTCAAATTTTTTTTTTCGTATTCGGCCTCCTATTTTACCGACCCGGCCCTGGGTAAACTACACTGCTTACCTCAAAATATGTCTCATTCTTTTTGGTTATGTTTTCGTGAGACTCATTCAAGACCGAATTGGCAACCGACTTCGACAATACTAATTTTAGTATTTTTCAATAAAATCTCAAAAAAAAAACAATATTAAAAATTAAAAATGGAAGTTGTTCTTCGAGGTGAACCAAATGACAAATAACTTGAAGACAAGAACGGATGAGTATAAACGTGTTCGTCTGAGTCAGATCCATGTCTAATCTTAGGTCACTATTCTACCAAGATTTATTGAAATTTAATGTCAAATAATACGGCCACGTATGAATTTTGAAATTAATATGATATTGGTATCTGTTAAATACTTAAATCTCAAATAGATATTGGATTTGGGTAATTAATCTTATTTTCTTGTAAGTGTCGTGTGCAACCCCAAATTATTAAAACGCCATAATATGATACAATCCGTAAAAACTAGATCTTCTGTATTTTTGGAAAAAATATTGGATGAGAAAACTTATACACGAAATTTTTTTTTTTTTTTTTGTCAACAGCTTAAATAAAATAGATGCTCAAAAGAGCCATTCCTGGAAAATGTTGTTTACATAAGTGATATGATGCGGTTCGGTACGAATTTTTCGTGCCAAATTATCCGCTTTTACATTTGCAAGTTATCTACATGATACAAGCTCAATTAGTCCTGAGCAAATATGTATAATTATTAGAATCAATATAATTATGATACTGTATATATAATTAAATGTGTGTATAAGACTTTTTGAGACATTCTCACTTAGCTTTTTTGCACGACACAACCTAGATGATTGGTGAAACCAAAACGGAACTCACCTATATACAATATGTGTTGAATTCTTTTATTTTTATTTTTCTTAAAAAATGTGTTAATTTATTGGATAATTTTCAGAAGAGCACGTCTCATTCTGTGAGACCGAATGGGTCTTTTACATGTGGATCCAGTTTTCACACATCCATGATCCAACAATTTATATGTTTCGTCTTTTTTTAATTATTTGAGATCTTGTCTTTTTTTTTTTTTTTGTGCAAAAATTTGAGATCTTGTCTTTCTATTTTATTCAATTTAAAAGTACATAAAAAATCAAGCAAAACAAAAACTAAAGAAAACTAAAAAATCTTTAACAAAAGATTTATGAAGAGTGAATTGAAAACATGCTGCCGTGCCACAAAAGTTACAAGTGAAAGAAATCAGCTATTTTTTTTTCTTTTTTTTTAAAGTGAAATTTGGTATAAAAAAAGTGAAACGGACCTTGAATTCGAATTACAAACACGAACAATAAACTTAATTTGCTTAATTTCCTGCTTAGCTGAATAAGATTCTACAACTTTTCGGTGGCTTATTAGTTAGTTGTTAAACATCTTACAAAATGTCGATGGAAGATCTTTTCACGTGGTGAATCAATTTATTATTAAAAACAAACACAAATCGAAGTTTAATTTTTTTATTTGTCGTAATCGAAGTTCAATTGTAGGTCTGACACGATCGTGATAAGATTATATATGCTATTTAAAAAGAAATCATGTGGCATGGCCAAACACACAAGTGTTAGTATAAAACTATTTTCAGACGTGTTTCATATATCAGTTATTATGAAAGTGTTTTTTTCTTTTTTTTCTTTTTTTTTTTGCGCCATTGGGAGTATTTTTTTCCAAGTGGGTGACTTATATTTAATTGCATCACTGAGTTTATCTTTTTCTAAAATGTAAGATCTATAATTTCATGATTATATGTTTGATCCCACATAGTCACTTACCGAAATTAATTCTCACTATATGTAAATCATCTTGTTAAACAGAAAAAATTGTGATATGATCAAGTCTTATAAAAAATTTAAAATGATGATCAAACCATCAAACAAAATTAAGCTTGCAAAGAAAAAAAAAATTATGGTCCTAATATTTAACTTAAAAAGTTATATTTGTCGGCCAGTTGTGTCAACGCAAATGAGAATAGTTATTTTCCAATCTTTATTTTTCAGCTAAAGATGATTTACCAATCAGAACTTTTCAGTGAATGATGCCTAATAAATTGGAGGTGAAAAGTTACGTTCAACAAGAATTTTATTTTAATCATTTTATGTTAATTGAAAAAGGGAAGTCTACTTCTCATTTGGGAAAGTTGGAAAATAGCTACAAATAAATTGGGTTGGCCCATTTATAGATACTGATTAAAACGTGGGTGGTTTTAAAATGTGGGGGCAATCAATATTAATAAAAATATGGGGCCATATGAATTATTCAACTGTAATTAAATTTTCCCCTCCTCCACTAGCGTACCATCACGCAAAAAAAATTACTTAAACAGCCTCCGATTCAGATAATAAGATGTTTCTCATACGATATATTGTTTTAGAAAATGATGTTGAGTTCTAGACGAATTTTTTTGGGATTTGATGTATGAACAATGACAGGATCCTATAATGAGAAGGCAAAGCTGACCAAAAAAAAACGACGGCATAATGGATATGATAGTACAAGGGGAAGGGGTTGTTTTATTTGTGGTCCGAGTTAAATCTTTTTTGGATACGAAAATTATTCTTTAAATTAAAATATTTAAATTTGATTTTAGATATTGGAAAATATTAAGAACCGAAAGGCTAGAGCTCCGACAATTTTGAAAAAAGAGTGAGCTACAATAGTTGTATTAATCTCACTGTTTATTTACAAAAGTTAAATAAAAATAAATTTTCTGTTAAATTTTAATATTTTTCAAATTTATTCTTTTTGCGAGTATACAACATATGATATATATATATATATATATACATTGTTTGTATGCGGAATGTTAGACCAATATAATTAGTGACATTTCCACAAAAACAAATAATATAATATGTGGAATGGATGAGATTAAAAAAAAAAGATCAAAGACAACATTTTAAGATTTTTTTTTTTCTTTATTTTCTCAACCATTTTAGGAAATTTATTAGTAAGTGGGAAATGTAAAAATAGGGTTCTATGAAAATCCACATCTATGCTAATGAATGCAACAAGGAAAGGTAGTTACACAAATTGTTCTAAATGTATTGACCCAAAAAATCCACTAATTTAATAAGGGGTAAATTGCATGGCAGGGCATAAGACCAAGTTTTAATTTCATGTTTTGGCAAAGTGAGAATTAGCTTTCAAGTTTTGACAATTTAGCCAAAATCTGACCATTTTACCCCTGCCAGCGTACCGATGTACTGTTCACTGTACGGTTCAGTTATGCGGTTCAGTTACGTACACTGTTCCGGTTCAGTTATGCGGTTCAGTTATGCGATGTACTGTTCACTGTACGGTTCAGTTACGTACACTGTACACGGTTCAGTTATGCGGTTCAGTTATGCGATGTACTGTTCACAATTTTCTTATAATCTTTTGTTTTTTACATTTAATTTATTTATTGATTTTGTAAATCTAGTTTATATTAGCGTATTTTGAAGTCGAAAAACTAAAATACAAACTCTATAAATATTACGTACACCGTCTCCACAATAGTACATGATATAACTGAAGTACATATCCATTTTATAATCAATACTGTGTATACCGTAAACTACATACACGTAAATAGAAAAAACTCAAATAAGGACATATTTCTACCAAAAATATCTTACCAATTTCATACAAGTTTTCTACGAACTCAATTAAAAAAATATTAATAATTTGTTTTCAGTAAATAATTGAAATCAACTATGATCAACACACAAATTGACTCTAATGAGACTCACAAAACTCCAGCTCTGTTACGCATTTGACATAATCATATGTCAAATACGAGAAGCAGTAGAAACAAACCTCACAACTAAAGAAAAACATTGAGGAATAGTATGTTTTAACGTGACACAGAGCCGTGTGTGGTTTGAAAATCTTAAACACTTGTCAGTAGATGATTCGCTTTTCCATTTTATAAATATTTATTGTTTTTATATTTTTAGTTAAAATTCTTTTTTTTTTCTATCAGACCCATTTTCATATTTTTTTTTCTATTTTAAATAATATTTTATTTATTATCATCGAAGACTATTCACGATTAGCAATATCATATACACATATGTGCGTAACGGTAATAATATATATGTACACGGTAGTAATGTGTACGTACACGGTAGTAATGTGTGTGTATATATGTACGTAAATATCTAAATAATTTGTATATTTACGTTTCAAATATTTTTTGACTATAAAAACAAAACATTCAAATCATGTATGAACAACATATGAAAAAAATACAATCATACAAATAACTGACATAATAACTTAATTTTGATGTCAAAAAATTAAATTAATGTTGTACCATGTACGCTCCAATAAATATTTTTGTGTACGTACATAGTATAAGACTTATGTGATTTAGGTATTTTTAGGATGTAACTGTTTGGAGAGGTCGTATGATGCGGACATCAAACATGTTGATGGACTAGCTGGGCTATTTGCTGAAGGACTCCCTGAAGGACTCAATGAAGGAATCGCTGATGGACTCGCTGACGAACCATTCTTACACTCTAACAACCATCAATTGAGCGCGGGCATGAAAATACAACAGCAATATGGAAATTTTATGAAGAATCATCGAGCCACCTACAGTCATTATCGAGTTGGATCAAACGATGGTCGAGAAACCATCAATTTACCTTACCTGAAGACCAAACCGGAACCAAACAAGGAAAGTCTCTTACCACGTCTTTACTGTTCCATTTTGAAGCCTCTAGCTCGTGTGGAAGCTTCTAAAAGTCTGAAGACACGCTCCTTGCCATTAAAGGAAGAAATATCCTCCATTGAAGACACTTACCATATTCGTACCCGAGGGGATCAAGCCATTGAAGCTGCCAATATTCTCAAGACATCTAAGCCTCCTTTTCAACCAGAAGACTCAAGCCACGAGGTTATTTCTCCTTCTCCAAGACGTCTCCCACTTCTTTCCATAACCGGCACCAACGCATCACCACTACTTATTCCCAACGGCTAGAAGATCACATCCTCTCCAAGTTATCATTTATTTCGCATATTTGTTTCCTTGTTTTCATTTCTTGACCATTAGAGGTCTCTTTGTCTCGAGCCTATATAAGCTCTTCTTCCTTGTTCTTTTCATGCACGCAATTTTCAAGTATTAAAAGTTCAGTTTGTTTGCTTTCAAAGTTAGAGTCTTTGAGCATTTGTTTGAGTCATTTTCTTAGTTAATTGATTCGTTCTGGTTACTATTCGACTCCGTCACCACCGTTACAACACTTCCGCAAGACATTACGCGTTGAATTCTTGAACTACCTCTTGATATAGGAAAGGAGTGACTCCGATCGTGTATCATCTGGTATCAGAGCTTAAAACGCTCCTATCTATCCAGGTTTACTCTTTTCTTTCTACAAATTTCAATTCTATTTTTAAATTCATAAACAACAAAAAAAACAAATAAAAATCGTTTTGTTCATTTTCTTGTTCAATTTTTATTAAATTAGAAAACCAAATAAATATTTTCCTTGCTTTTGTTTCATTTTCTTGAAGTCAAAGGTTTTGAGGTAGGGATTAGAGGGTCATTAAGGAGCATTTTCATGTCTTACTGGACTAGTGTACGTGTACATAATATATGTACACCATATTATGAATTTAATGTGAACACGGGGTAGTAGATGCAATTTTATTTTGAAAAATATCTTTGTCGTATAGTTGTATAAGATGTAAAAGCGAAGAACATAACAAGAAAACTTACAAAAATCCAATATACATATAAGATTTCATAACACTCTCAGATTAATGTAGTGTATGTTTATGTGTCATCTTCTAGTCGTGTACGTTTTCGTTTGTAGAATGATGTACGTTTTCGATTGTATGATGATGTACGTTTTTAATTTTGGATACGTCACCAATTTTGAAAAATACTTTACGTTTATCTCCTTATTACTATGTTCATCTTGTCTTATGACCGTGTACGTTTACCCTCACAAACTATCATCTGTTTGAAAATTGTGTACGTTAATCTTCAAAATAGCTTCATTCATTCATACATACATCAACTACATCATAAAAAATATAACAAAATGGATAACAACATATTAGTTTTTTAATATAACAATTCAATGTTACATTAAATGGATTCTTTCCAAGAACCGATTCTACCTATCGCGGATCGGAAGGATGATGTCATCCCACAAGATATATCGGATATGATACTGATTCCTTCATACAGTAGACGACCACCAGGGAGACCAACCACCAAAAGGATGGTGATACCATCCAGGAGTGAAAACCGGGTAAGTTTTAACATTCTAACATGTGCACTTATTTGCCTATATCTATGTTTAGAGTATAAGATGCGTTGATTGTTAACTTATTGTTGTTGTCACTACAGAAAAAAAAAAAGACAGAAAGACTCTTTCTTAATCAGTGTAAAAGATGTAGACAAGCAGGAGGTCATAACAAGAAGACTTGCAAAAATCCTATTTAGTTTTATGTCCTTGTTTTTTGTCACCGTGTAGACAGTGTACGTTTATGTCTGGACCATATGTACCACATTTTTTTTCGGTGTACGTACGTTTAAAGTTTGCCATCATATAACTATGTACGTTTCTGATATGTCTGTGTACATAAAATAATTTGATATTTTTGTGAGAATTGCCCCTCTCTAGGTACAATACTTCTCATTTCCTGGGTTCTCCAGGCTGCATCTATGACCGATGTATAATTCATTTTTCTTTCCTTTCACAGACGAACCATGAATACTTCATAAATTAAAAACCCTATTCTAGGAGTAGAAAACGTAATTATATATATCCATCCCCAAAACGCATTATAATTCCATAAGAACCGTATATTAATAACATAGTTTTGTTTCCACATTAAAACCCAAGATTCCAAAATAATGTAGAACCGATAAAATGTGAACATAAACAAATTTGTCTCCAAACTCGAGACCCACATTGTATCCAAAAATTTGTCTTGCCCTGCTGATGCATTTCTTAGTTGATTCCATAAGCCAATCACCTCTATAAACTTTTGCATCTCCCCTAAATCTGAAATCCGGTTATACCTATAAAATTGTTGGAAACTGAAGTCTCAAAGACAGAACAGAGTATAACAGAGAGAGAATAAGACTTTGTATCACAATCTATTTGATCGTGAACAAAACAATGAAGAAAAGAACTTCTATCTTTATTAGATAAAAGTGAAAAAACAACGACTGTAGTTTAAGGTTTACAACAAGGAACTTAAATAGAATCCAACAGACATGAAAATCAAGAGTTGTAACTCTTCTTTCTTGTGACACAACAACCGTTAAGACATAACTAACTTAACTTAATATACACGACACTTAATTTAATAACTACCTTAATACCTTACAAACATTACAAACTCAATTACGACCAACAAAAATAGACCATGAAAGAGAACTAGAACACTCCTCCGCTGTAGAAACATGAAAGTCCAAAACCAAATTTGTCGACATGATCTCAGACTTGAAACATCATGAAAATAAGCCCACCTCCTTTGAAAAGCCAGAATTGAACCTTTCACCCAATCGATCAAAAAACACCACAAATTCCAATTCAAGTTCAATAAATTTATGGGTATAAACCAACCACCGGAAAATAATCAATAGAATCCCATGACATCGATCAATAATCACAACTAAAACTGATCCCAAACTAAACCCTTTCAGATCAAACTCAATCGATCCATGACACTCACCACATATCTGCTTCATTTGGACCCTTCCAAGAACTTAGACAACAACCGTGAATATACATCTGATTTGTATCTTTGACCTTGTTGCAAGCCACCATTGATCCCAATTTAAACCTTCCTCTCTATCAGATCTGATGTCCTTTGAACCACCATCAATCCACACCGCCCACCGCCATCGAACCCAGACCGGAGATTCCTCTCTGCCCAATCGGGTATCCATCAATACTCAGCCACACCTCAAAAATCTTTGAAAAAGAACCCGTCGGCGAGAATAATTCATCACCATTGAAACCCCCAAATTGGGCCCGTAACTCTTCCAATCCTCCTCCTTGACAACACCCAAACTTGGAAATTTGAAACCGATTCGAAAGAAAACCACAATATTGGTCCCTTCCCATGACCAGAACCTTTCAAACGGGTCACCGAACACCACCGCAATCAACCCAAGAACCCTAGAATCAAATTGATACCCACAGATCCGACCATTGAAACTCCATGGAGGACCAAAAATAAACCGATCCAAACGCCTCCGATCAAAAACCATCATTGTTGGGAAAGAAACCTAAAATCGCCTCCATCGCCTCCATCGCCTCCATCGCCTTTCTCTCTTTCTCTCTCTCATTCTTCTTCTTCGTTTCTGCGCAAGAATTTTTTTTTTTTAATTCAAAACCAAACCGTAAAAAAAGAAAAAGTAACTAAACCGAAACCAACTCTGCCATTTGGTTTAAGTCATTAGGGGTATTTTCGTCAGATTTTGGCTTAATTGTCAAAACGTGAGAACTAAATCTCACTTTGCCAAATACTGAGAGAAAATCTTTTTTTTCAGCAGAAACGTGAAAATTTCTTTTTAATAAATTACCATCATCATCATAAAAAAAAAAAAAAAGTATTGACTTGACGTCTGTAAACGTGAACATGGTAATAAATGATAGAAAAAAACAATCACAGCTCTAATTTGCCAACCCAATCCAGATCTCTCTCTATACTTTCTAATTCCCAACTTCTCATATACTCCCTCTGTTTTCGAATAGTTATCGTTTTAACTATATGTACACAAATTAAGAAATTATTAATGTTGTTAGTTTTTCAATATAAAAATATTATTAATTATCTATCTAAACATAATTTAACCAATAGTAAATCAAGTTGCATAATAAAAAAAAAATAAAAAAAAAAGTAATAAATTTTGCATCGAAAACTAAAAACGACAACTAATTAAAAAAAAAAAAAATTCTCTAAAACGATAACTATTCGAAAACGGAGGGAGTAATATTTTTTAATATCATTATTTTGAGATTTGTTTTGGTTGGTTTTGCGATATATAAATATTGGACTTGCCAATTTCTATTACAACCATATCAAATCTAAATAAACCAAAACAAACAAGAAAATGGCGAGCAACGAAGCTCTCTTACCCGTCACGTCCCGACAAGATCTATTATCCGAGTCAAGATCCGACCAGATCCCGGAGACCCGTCGGAGAAGACCCATCAAAGTCCATCTCGCCGTCTATTCCGGTTTGCTCTTGATTGCTTTGTACGTTGCTCTCATCGTCACACACGATGGATCCACCTCTCAACATGGCGCCAAGGATGAAACGTCGACAGAGTCACGTGCTCGTTTGGCCGGCGTGTCCGAGAAGAGCAACGACCGAGTTTCGAGATTATCAGATGATCGGAAAGTTGAAGCGTTCCCGTGGAACAATACTATGTTGTCGTGGCAACGCACGGCGTTTCATTTCCAGCCTGAGAAAAATTGGATGAACGGTACGAACAAAAAAAAAGTTCTTCTAAAAAGATTATTTTATAAGCTATGAATAATAAATTACTTAATCATCATTGATTTTCTATAGCTAAAGTAGCTAAAAAAGCGTCTAATCTTTACAAAGAATGTTCATTTTTCATTTTTATATAGATTCGAATTACATAGCCATATATGAGACCATGACTTGAGGAACAAGATTTAAGTAAATACGCAAGAGTGATATACAATGTTTTTATATTTTACTGTTTCATCTAAAATTTCAATAGTTTTGTTGTTACATAGTATAAGATTTTTAATCTTCATCTGTTATTAATTTTTTTTTTTTTTTCTGTCTATTCAATGGCGTTGTGAATGGCAAATTTCTGGTTTCTTCGTCTGCAGATCCTAATGGTAAGCTCTAGATCCTACACTGAAGTCTTCTATTTTTGTGCTTCTAACGTTTTCCTTTTTCCTTTGACCAATTTTTTTATTTATACTATAAAATAAATTATGGAAAACATATTATAAAAAATTTGATTGGCTACGCCATTGATAGAGATATCTGAAACCCATAAAAAATTATTGGTAGATAGATATATGACAACACGGCACGTCCTTTGCGGGCCACAATTAATGTCATTGGATAGAATTGAATAGAACTATTTTCAATAAAATTGATAAGAAATAATTTCAATAACAAATTGGAGTATTACTTTACACGTAAAAAGTTTATTTTTTTTGGTATGCAAAGTACTCAGACAAAATCTGAACAGAAAGAGTCATTAAAGCCAGTTAGTTTACTTTGTTTTTGCATGTTTTGTATATACACCACGTGAGTCATGTGCATATTGTACAAATTATTGCTTACCCATTATTGTGTTTGGACGGTCCCAATTTGACTCGTTCTATTAACCCAATTGTAAATTGAAACGTCATACTTTTTTTTCCTTCCTCAAAAGTCACAAATATACAGTAATCACAGCTTATCGAATTTATGAAACGTCGTACTTTATAGTGGTGTTTTATTTAGTAAACGTGTTTTTCTATTGCTTTAAAAAAAACACGACATTATGCGATCATTTCGATTCCACTCTAGCCAGAATACTATCAAGAATGTTAATTTAAACTAGCAAAAAGAATATACATTAGTAAATTTGAAGTCATAATTATACTCAAATCGTGATTATTTTATTTTTGAAATATATTTATGCTTCATAGCCATATAAAAGTACAACTTTAATTTAAACTGAACAAATGCGTTAAACATGATTCCAGGTCCATTGTTCTATAAGGGATGGTACCATTTCTTCTATCAATACAACCCAAATGCAGCTGTGTGGGGTGACATTGTTTGGGGCCACGCCGTGTCAAAGGACCTTATCCACTGGCTTTACCTCCCAATAGCCATGGTTCCTGACCAATGGTACGACGCAAACGGCGTCTGGACCGGTTCAGCCACTTTTCTAGATGATGGCTCCATTGTCATGCTCTACACCGGTTCCACTGATAAATTCGTACAGGTACTGATTACTTGAAATCCTTCTTCGTTTGTTAACTAAATATTCAATATTGAATATTACATCAATTTTTGATAGCTAATAATAACTAATAAGTAACTATATCTAAGTATCTAACAAGTGTTATATTGTTTCCGAATTCGTATATAGTACACTAAAAACCGTCATAATTGGTTAAACTTTACTATTGGGTTGTGGTTAAAAATCTTTTTTCAATATAAATTTGGTCGGACCAATCGATCACTGATATAATGATGATTATTTTAGGTTCAAAACCTTGCATATCCTGACGACCCAAGCGACCCACTTTTGTTGAAATGGGCCAAGTTCTCCGGCAACCCGGTTCTCGTACCTCCACCAGGTATTGGTGCAAAGGACTTCCGTGACCCAACGACGGCCTGGAAAACATCGACCGGAAAATGGCGAATCACCATCGGCTCCAAAATCAATAGAACCGGAATATCTCTCATTTATGACACTACCGATTTCAAAACTTACGAGAAACATGATACCTTGTTGCACCAAGTCCCTAACACCGGAATGTGGGAGTGCGTTGATTTTTACCCTGTGTCGAAGACTCAAGTCAATGGGCTCGATACTTCGGTCAACGGGCCAGATGTCAAGCATGTCATCAAGGCTAGCATGGACGATACTAGAATTGACCATTACGCCATTGGGACGTATTATGATTCAAACGGTACATGGGTCCCGGATAATCCTTCTATCGATGTCGGAATCAGTACCGCTTTGAGATACGATTACGGGAAATTTTATGCGTCAAAGACGTTTTACGATCAAAATAAGGGACGGAGAATCTTATGGGGTTGGATTGGTGAATCTGACAGTGAAGCTGCTGATGTACAAAAGGGTTGGTCTTCTGTTCAGGTACATTTTCTTCACGTAGCGTGCTATGAACGTTAGGTCTTTACTTGTCACCTAAGTTAGGGCTTAACTTTTTCTGGAACCATGATCAGGGCATCCCAAGAACTGTTGTCTTGGACACAAGGACGCGGAAAAACTTAGTCCAGTGGCCAGTTGAGGAAATCAAATCATTGAGACTAAGCAGCAACAAATTTGACATGACGATTGGACCAGGGACAGTGGTTCCGGTAGATGTGGGTTCTGCGACTCAGCTCGACATAGAGGCCGAGTTCGAGATCAAGACCGAGGATCTCGAACTATTCTTTGATGATGACTCTGTAGAGGCCGACAAAAAATTCAGCTGCGAAACTAGCGGAGGCTCCACGGCACGTGGTGCTTTAGGGCCTTTTGGATTCTCCGTTCTTGCTGACGAAAGCTTGTCAGAACAAACTCCGGTTTACTTCTATGTGACTAAGGGAAAACATTCAAAACTCAAAACTGTCTTCTGCACTGACACCTCAAGGTAATCAATCTATAACCATATATTAATAGATTCTTCTATTATACAAATCAAGTAATTACTAATTTCTATTTATTGCTTTTTTCTTTAGTCAGTATATATAAAATTTACATATACTAAATGCATATTCCGGACATTAGTCTGGATAATGCAAAATAAATTAATCAAACTCTCTTATGATAGGTCGACTATGGCAAACGATGTGGTGAAACCGATCTATGGAAGCTTCGTACCGGTCCTAAAAGGAGAGAAATTAACAATGAGAATCTTGGTAATAAATCATATCCTTAAAAACAATAACCTAATTCATTAGTTTTTTCATCCAATAATATCATTACAAAAATCAAGAATTTAATATATTTCCTTTGTTATTAATTTCAAATTTTATTTTATTAGGTGGATCACTCGATAGTAGAAGGATTCGCACAAGGTGGAAGAACATGTATAACCTCAAGAGTATATCCCACAAAAGCAATCTATGGAGCTACAAAACTCTTCTTGTTCAATAACGCCATTGATGCGACCGTTACGGCGTCGTTTAAGGTCTGGCAAATGAACAGTGCTTTTATTCATCCTTACTCTCCAGACGATCTCAGTGTTCCTTCCCGTACCTGATCATTTTACATATAATAAGGGGATTCCTCTTTTTTATTTTTAGCTTTTTGATTGATGTTATATTATTTATGGGTCTGATTTGATCTGTGTGATTGATTCATCATGTGAGTGAAGAGAAGAAAAATAAAATGTACTCTCTCATTTCCGTAACGAAATTGGGGTTCGTTTTTATTGATCATTTGTTCACTTTTGGAATTGAAAAATGTTTTTTTATAGGATAAAATGTGGGAAAGTTGCAAAGACCTAAAAAGAAAAGTGAAGTCTATTGAGGATTTACTTTAAAACTCCTTTAAATAAATGCAATTTTTAACGCAACCTATTGGAAGTTTGAGAACACACATAAAATGTCTCAAGTCTCAACATGTCGCGGACAGGTATACAATGTCGACATGTTGGTTTACAAGAGTTGAAAAAGCTAATTCACTTGGATTTGGAGTGGTCGAAGAAGCTTTCAAGTATTGTTGGGATTTCTTCACTACTAAATTTGAAAGTATTTAAATTAAAAGGTTCAGGAGTTAGAGTCAATCCCAACACAGTGGAGGAGTTGCTAGTCTTGGAACATTTAGAAATTCTAACCATAGGAATCGGTAATGATTCAGGTTTGGATCAATTTTTAAGCTCTCACAAGCTGATGCGTTGTACACAAGCTATGAAGTTCAACAATTGTCGATTACAATCATCAGACGTATCGTTTTTAGCTAGTATGGAGAAAGTTCGTGAACTTTATTTTCGTTCATGTACTATTTCTGAGATAAAGATGGATATTACAAGCATTAGAAGCGACAAATGCATGCTTCTTAAGCCTCGCTACGATTGTTCTATGGTCTAGTAATTGCTGTAAAGAATTGACGTGGTTGATGTTCGCTCCAAATCTTAGAAAACATGTTGTTCACAAAGCAGTCAAGCAGATGAAGTAGAAGACATAATAAACAAAGAGAAAGCTTGTGTATGTGAAGAATCAGGGATTGTTCCTTTTCAAAGACTAGAATTTTTGCAGTTGGATAATCTACCGGAGCTGAAGAACATATATTGGAGACCTCTGCCATTTCCTTGTCTTAACACAATCAGAGTAATAAGCTGCCCAAAGCTGAGAAAGCATTATTGTTAAAATTGCTACTGGGAATATGAGTTGTGTAATGCTGCAGAAACAGCAACTCTTTAAGATTGAAGAAAATAAAGAAGTAATAACGTTACAATCATTCTGTCTAAAGCTTTCACCCTTTTTGACAATACAAATCATCCCGCGTTGCTTTCAGATCATCCATGGTTGTCTCTAAGGCTGTGAGATTCTCCTCGAGGTTGTTAATGTAACTCTCTTTGACACATAACCATTGAGAGACTTGATTAACAACTTGATCACATGACAACGAGACAGAGAAACAACCACCCATCGCTGCACCTACACAGAGAAAGAGATTCTCAAAGAAAAAAAAACGTGAAGCTGTTAGCAAACGAGTGAATATTGTTAGGAGAGAAGAGAAGAAAGAGGAATATATTTCCCTTACATCCTTTGTCCCCCAAAAAAAAGGAATATATTATCAAGCCAAGCCAAATACATCTCTTTTGCCTATATTGATTTGTGTTTGAGCACCTGCATTGCGTAGAAAAATCAGGATATAGTGCCATGGGAACATCACGGAAAGAATAAAAATAAGTTTTGGCGATGACATCTAGCGGATAATTCCTTTGATGGAGTTAAGTTAACAAATCATTTCCTCTCCAAGCATTCAAGAACATAACAACTTTTCAAAAATCACCAAAACTGCTATTAACATAACAAATTTATCAACTTTTGTAATTTCTAAGCTATAAGACCACCAACAGTATACTACATGAAAATGTTGTGTAACCATACGCGACAAAGATGCCACACAAGTGAAAAGCTTTTGTAGTTTAAAAGAAAATTCATACACAAATCCAATTATTGTTACACGAGATTCAGAAAGCTCAGAAGCAAAATTATACCAGTAAACACTTAAAACTGATTAACCTCTGGGCAAATTCTCCCTAACAAGTGTCTTTCAAAACTAGAAAAGATGTGTAAGCCTACCATTGAGCAGCGAAGAAAGCGTGACAATGCTGGGCTCATAACCAAGTAACATCACCGAGCTTCGAGGAGTTGCTCCATCGGTATTGGAGAATTATGCTCTTTGTGGAACGACGATTGGACAAATCTGGCCCTCTCATCACCATTACAGGATCTGATGGGATACGGTTCTCTTGTATTCAAGAGTCTCTATTCATAGCTGAAGCCTCAGTTTCGGGTTACCGGAGAATCTCCACACGTAGAGGTCAAATTCTGTCTCTACTCTGAGCTTGCCTTCATGCGCAAAGCCCTGCGAGTTCTAATGCTGGTCCAGACGTCACTTCCTCTTAGCAATTATTTAATGTCACAGAGCTAGTTGTAAAAAGGCCAAGAACTCCACTTGCCTATGCATTTTCGTGTTTAATGGAATCCACAATCAACAATAAAATAACAAATGAGTTGTTCTCAACTGTGAGAATGATTTGCGCCTTGGGAACATCACTGTAACACAAGAAGAAAAACCAACAACCGAAAACAAAAGATGCTATTTTATAGATCAATACGATTCTGCTTTACTTGATCGGACCTTGTCATATTCAAAGTGAATTTCCTTCTTTTCAGATAATATTTTCTTGTGTAGTAGAAACCATCAGTTTACTAATCAAACATATTCATGAACATATAAGGACTGAAAGTGATTACCAGAAAAGCAACATAAAAGGCTTATTAACCTCAAGGATGTCTTACGAAATCATTTCCAAAAAGCTTTTATCCAATCTCCCATCATGCAACATATTAGTGACCAAGGCAATGGTTGAAGCATCTCCAGCAAACTCGCAACTCCTCATTTCTCTGATGAGTTCAGATGATGCTGCTTTGTCACCATCTCTAAGATGCGCCCTAACAAGCGTATTATAAGTACCACTATCTGGAAGAGGTCCATCTTCTTTCATTTTTTTTAGCAAGGCATGTGCTTCCTGCTTTAAACCTTTCCTACAGAATCCTGAGATCATTGTAGTATAGGTTATAACATTAGCCTTCACTCCTTTACGGCTGAGACAACAAAATAGATCCCACCCATCTTCCACCATCCCAACCTTGCACATCCCTTCAATCATAATATTGTATGTGAATATATCAAGTTCAATTTCAGCCTTCTGCATACGCTCGAATACCACCAATGCTTTTTCTAGCTTCCCGTTATTACTAAGTCCATCTAACAAAATGTTGTAGGTCCAAAGATCGGGGTAGACACCAAAAGATTCCATCTCTTTGAATAGTTTTTGGGCCATATCACAATCTCGAGCTTGAAATAACCCCTGGATAAGAGTGTTGTAAGTGACTGTATCGCCAACCAATCCTCTCTGTGACATCTCGCGGAAGAGTTCCATACCTTCCTCTACTCTCTTAGCCTTACAAAATCCCTTTATAAGCGTATTATAAGTCACTACATCTGGGAAACAGCCCTTGCTAACCATAAACTCAAACATCTGCTCGGCCTCGTCTAGACGATCGTGCATACAAAACCCGTTGATGAAAGAACTGTAAGTGAAGATATCAGGATCTATAGACCTTTTTCTCATCTCCTCGTACAATTTCTCAGCCTCTATAAGTTTTCCCTCCTTCGCAAATGCATCAATCAATGCATTGAAAGTGACTACATTTGGATTGATCTTCCTCTTAATCATATCACTAAGTAATCGGGAGGCATCGCTCCATCTTCCGTAATTACAAAGGCAGCTTATGAGGGAGTTGTAAGTAACATCTAGTTTGATTCCTTTGTTCTCCATTTCATTGAATAGGTCAAGTGCATCATTCACATGTTTGTATTTGCAAAGAGCATCGATGACTGTGCTGTAGATTACAACATCTGGCTCTATTTTTTCTTTCTCCATCTTTTTACTTAAAGCCAAATCAGTATCACCTCTTTTACAGATTCCATTAACAACTGCACCGTATGTAACCAAATCTGGTTGGCACCCTTTCGCAACCATTCGGTCAACTAAAGCCACTGCTTCTGAAGCTTTGTTGTGAAGAAAAAGTCCATGGATTAAAGTGTTAAAGGTAACTGTATCAAGTTGATATCCCATTTCCACCATTTGATCAACCAAAGCTACGGCATCAGAAATCCTATTACTATGACAGAATCCATGGAGTATCGAGTTAAGCGTAACAATGCTGGGCTCATAACCGAGTTTAATCATCTTGCCAAGAACAGCTAAAGCAAGAGAGAGTTGAGAGCGTCGGCAAAAACAGTTAATGAAAATACTGTAAGTATAGAGATTATGTGAAATCCCCAAATTTTGCATCTGCTCGCCGAGAGAGATGACAAGATCGAACTTCTTCATCTTAGCAATGGAACTCAACAGTTTACTGAACTCAATAATCGAAGGAAAGGGACGAGATTTCACCATTTCACTGAACAAATCAACAGCATCGTCTAACCTAATATCACTCAGCCCATTTCTAAGTATTTCTCTATAATCATAACTACTCTTACCAGCAAAATCTCGTCTCCAACAAAGGGAAAATGAAGGAGAAACAGCTGCAGCATTACCTCTCACCACAAGACTCCGATGAACAAATCTCTTCCCTGAAGATGCAATCGCAAACGATATCCTCATTTTCTCGATTTGGTTTCTTCTCAATCTCTCTGATTCGGAAGCTCTGTAACATTCAACAAAACCCTAGACCAACCACTGAGAGTCTGAGACTGTGAGAGTAAGGCAGCGATAGAGAGAGTGAATGCTGAAGTAATTATGTTATTGGGATTATCGGTTTGCGTTATGGAGCTACAAAACTCTTCTTGTTCAATAACGCCATTCATGCGACCGTAACGGCGTCGTTTAGGGTTTGGCAAATGAACAGTGCTTTTATTCATCCTTACTCTCCAGACGATCTCGGTGTTCCTTCCCGTACCTGATCATTTTACATATAATAAGGGGATTCCTCTTTTTTTATTTTTAGCTTTTTGATTGATGTTATATTAAAAACATTTTGTAATCTACATAAAACTGCAGAAGCTGAAGACTTCTCTCTCTTCTCTCATCTCTATCTTTTAGAGAGAAAGTCTTCAGAGCTTCTTTTTCCGGCAACGATGGCTTTTTCAGCGTATGTTGGCCGACTATCTGTCCAGAATCCTCTGGCTTTCTTAGCCTGGATGTCTGGTTTTTTGTCCGGTGACGTTTCGTCTCTATGGCAACGTTTGATCGGCTCTCGTTCTGACACTGTCCGTTTCTCTTTACGGCGGTGGTCGGCTTGCGTCTGGCTTCCGTTGGCTTCTACAGCGGCGGTGGGCTAGCTTAGGTCTAGAGTTTCACCGCCCGTCTACGGTGTCTCGTCTAGCTTCTGGCCGGATTGCTTTCCGGTTTAGAATTATGTTTTCTTTCTCTCGTTTTCCTTATTTTCGGTTAGATTGGGCTCTTTTGCGTTTCAATTCTTAGATCTGGAATCGTAATTCCTTGAACCTCCTTTGTTTAAAGGGTTCGATTTGTTTTTCAAGCTTATCGATTTCAATTTTTTAAGAACAAATCGGAATTGCGGATCAAGGTCTTTTTTGGTGCTTTTGGGTTGATTTTAATGCAATTGTGGCTAATTTTCTAATCGATCTATGGAAACGATTGTTTTCTTTTTCGTTTTTAGTTGTTGCTGAAAGCTCCATCGGCTTATTCTCTATGCCGATGTTCTTCGGAGTTCGGGAATCAATTGCCTTTGGGAGGATGTTTCCTTTGCAGATTCGATGATGAAAATTGGTGGGATTCTCTAATTAAAAACCGATGGACTTCTTTGCTTGAAGCTCTGGCGGTTTCCGGTGGTTTTGGAGTTTCCTCAAGTTGCTCGGCGATGACCGGCGACGACATATGCATCTGTCCACGTGTCTCAACCTTGCTTCATAGCCTCACACGTGGTTCTGCGTTGGATTCTTTAAATCTCTTACTTCCTCAAAGGGTTTAGTTTTCTGGATTGGGCTTTCTTTAACTTGGGCTTCTGCTTATAAGCTGAACTTGTTGGTTCTTTGGTTATGCAACATGGATGACTCTATTGTTTAGATAATCCATTGTTGTAAAGTTTAATGTGTAAGTCAAGACCTGTAAGTGGAAGCTTCCACTGTTGTATCTTTTGCAACACAAGTTTTAAATAAAGTGCAACACTTACGTGAAAAAAAAAAGATTGATGTTATATTATTTATGGGTCTGATTTGATCTGTGTGATTGATTCATCATGTGATTAATTGTAGAGAAGAAAAATAAAAATGTACTCTCTGATTTCCGTAACGAATTTCGGGTTCGTTTTTGGCCCTGTTTGTTTGATCATTTTCTTTCATCTAATAAGAAAATGATTAAAGTTCATGCTTTCATCTAATAATATATCGATCATTGGTTTACCCTTTTTTTTTTTTTTTTTTTTTTTTTCTTCTTTGGACATCGATCATTGGTTCACTTTTGGAATTGGAAAATGTTTTTTAGAGATATAATGAGGGAAAATTGCAACGACCTAAAAATAAAAGTTTATTGAGGATTTACTTTAAAACTCCTTTAAATAAATGTAATTTTTAACGCAACCTATTGGAAGTTTGAGAACACACATAAAATATCTCAACATGTCGCGCACAGGTATACAATGTCTACATGTTGGTGGTTTACAAGAGTTGAAAAAGATAATTCACTTGGATTTGGAGTGGACGAAGAAGCTTTCAAGTATTGTTGGGATTTCTTCACTACTGAATTTGAAAGTATTTATATTAAAAGGTTCAGGAGTTAGAGTCAATCCCAACACAGTGGAGGAGTTGCTAGTCTTGGAACATTTAGAAATTTTAACCATAGGAATCTAATGATTCAGGTTTGGATCAATTTTTAAGCTCTCACAAGCTGATGCGTTGTACACAAGCTATGAAGTTCGTGAACTTTATTTTCGTTCATGTACTATTTCTGAGATAAAGATGGATATTACAAACATTAGAAGCGAGACGGTTTCTACTCTGCAAAACCCGACAAATGCATACTTCAACAGACCTTATCATATCAAAGTGAATTATTTGCTTTTCAGATAATATTTTCTTCTGTAGTAGAAACCATCAATTTAAAAGCTAATCAAACATATTCATGACCATATAAGGACTGAATTAGAAAGTGATTACCAGAAAAGCAACATAAAAGGCTTATTAACCTCAAGGATGTCTTACGAAATCATTTCCAAAAAGCTTTTATCCAATCTCCCATCATGCAACATATTAGTGACCAAGGCAATGGTTGAAGCATCTCCAGCAAACTCGCAACTCCTCATTTCTCTGATGAGTTCAGATGATGCTGCTTTGTCACCATCTCTAAGATGCGCCCTAATAAGCGTATTATAAGTACCACTATCTGGAAGAGGCCCTTCTTCTTTCATTTTTTTTAGCAAGGCATGTGCTTCCTGCTTTAAACCTTTCCTACAGAATCCTGAGATCATTGTAGTGTAGGTTATAACATCAGGCTTCACTCCTTTACGGCTGAGGCAACAAAATAGATCCCACCCATCTTCCACCTTCCCAGCCTTGCACATCCCTTCAATCATAATACTATATGTGAATATGTCAAGTTCCATTTCACTCTTCAGCAAACACTCGAATACCACCAATGCTTTCTCTAGCTTCCCATTATTACAGAGTCCATCTAACAAAATGTTGTAGGTCCAAAGATTGGGAGAGACACCAAGAGAATCCATTTGACTAAAAGTTTCTTGAGCCATATCACAATCTCCAGCCTGAAATAACCCTTGGATAAGAGTGTTGTAAGTGATTGTACTTCCAACCAATCCTTTTCTAGACATCTCCTGGAAGATCTCCATACCTTCATCTACCCTTTTACACTTGCAAAATCCCTTTATAAGCGTACTATAAGTTACTACATCTGGAAAAAATTCCTTGCTAACCATGAACTCAAACATCTGTTTGGCCTCGTCTAGATGATTGTGCATACAAAACCCGTTGATCAATGAATTGTAAGTGACAATATCAGGATCTATAGACCTTTTGATCATCTCCTCGTACAATTTCTCAGCCTCTACAAGCTTCCCCTCCTTCACAAATGCATCGATCAATGCGTTGAAAGTGACTACATTTGGATTGATTTTCCTCTCAATCATATCACTCAGTAGTCGAGAGGCATCACTCCATCTTCCGTAATTACAAAGGCAACTAATGAGGGAGCTGTAAGTAACAACATTTGGTCTAATTCCTTTGTTCTCCATTTCATTGAATAGGTTGCGTGCATCATTCACATGTTTGTATTTGCAGAGACCATCGATAACTGTGTTGTAGATTACAACATTTGGCTCTATTTTTCCTTTCTCCATCTTCTTCAACAAACTCAAAGCCAAATCAATATCACCTCTCTTACATAATCCATTTACTACAGCACCATATGTAACCAGATTTGGTTGACAGCCTTTCACAGCCATCCGATCAACTAGCGCCACTGCTTCTGAAGCTTTGTTGTGGAGAAAAAGCCCATGAATCAACGTGTTAAATGTAACAGTATTAGGTTGATATCCCATTTCGACCATTTGATCAACCAAAGCTACAGCCTCGGATATCCTCTTACCGTGACAGTAGCCATTGAGCAGCGAAGAAAGCGTGACAATATCGGGGTCATGACCGAGTTTAATCATCTTGCCAAGAACAGCTAATGCAAGAGAGATCTGAGAGCGTCGGCAGAAACAGTTAATGAAAATACTGTAAGTATAGAGATTATGTGCAATCCCCAAATCTTGCATCTGCTCGCCGAGAGAGATGACAACATCGAACTTGTTCATCTTAGCAATGGCACTCAACAATTTACTGAACTCAACAATGGAAGGTAAAGGACGAGACTGTACCATCTCACCGAACAGATGAACAGCATCGTCTAACTTCAAATCGAGTAACGCATTTCTACTCAAGTTATCTCTGTAGTCATAACTCGCACCAGAGAAATTGACACCTCGAAGGGAAAACGACGGAGAAGCTTTCCTCAGGTGAACGAATCTCTTCGCTGTCAATGCAAGCGCCAACCTCATCTTCTTCGATTGTGTTTTTCTTCTCGATCTTTGAAAAACCCTAAACTAACCTGAAGATGGAGATTTCACTTTTCAGCACCGTTGGATCATTTTTTGGTGTTGACGGTCAAGATTTCATCATCTCATTTCCAATTTTAATAACCGACCGGTTCACTTTGACTTCTTTTTTTTCTTTAAACCCAGGGAAAAAACAGAGCAATTACTAAAACAGAGCAGAACATAGCTCAAAAATAAACAAGATTTAAACACTCAATTCCGCTTTCCATCTTTAATTCGAGAATGCAACCAAGAAGGTCCTCCAATGGCGAGATACGATGTCATACGACCCTCTCTAGTTACGCTGTGAGCAATTTCTTTTGCTATCGAGTTCGATTTAGGCGAGGGGTGCTTAAAAGATAAAGAATTAACCAATAAATCCTGTCATTATACAACAATATTTAAACAAAATAACTTAAATGCAACAAGTACTCGTCAACCAAAAACTGAGAAGGACGAATATAATTTAAAAATGAGAACTCCAACTATATATTTTGGCATTTATCATACACAAATCAAATAATTATACAACAATCATAAAAAGATCAATGATGCTTGAAATTATATGTATGGAAAACCAGAAGGAACTTCTCGTGATTAGAAATTATTTCATGTTTTTGCAAAGTCTGTTACGTGTACAAATTTGAGTTGTGTTTCAGTGTTTGTGTATAGCGTGCTGTCCGTGGATCTTTTCTTTTGAGTGCTTTGCTTGACGATTTTGTTTGTTGTGTTTGAGGTTTGTATTGTATTTAGTTTCGTGCATGATAAGTATTTGTTATGAGTGTTGAGTTTGTTGTTGTTGTTTTTTTTTGCTTTGTGGTGTTTTAGTGTATTTGTATTTTCCGAAAGTGTGGGACTTATGCATCAAATTGAAGTAAGAGAGTGAGAGAGTACTTCACTTGTTCGCCTCCCCAGTAATTTTTTCTTCTATTGATTTCACCCTACAAAGAGATATGAGAAGAGTGAATAACGCTTTGACTAAGAACATACAAAGCTACAAACTGCAAAGAAAAATAAAATTACTAAAAATCTACTCCAAGAGAAGTTACATGAATCATCTAAGCAATTAAGTTTAGTTATCTGCCAAATACCAATTTAGCACCTATAGGCAATAGATACTAAACTCAAGCTCCTACACTGTTCTGGCCTTGGGTACACCATTTTAGCAACAAGTTTATGTTCATTTGCTTGTATGAGCTCGCTCCTACCAAACTAAAATAGGAAATGATACATTAGAACCAAACTATAAACATGAAGTTTCATACAATCTCACAATCACCTTACACAATAATAATGACAACCTACAACTATAAAACTATAAAAAATACAAACGTCTTAGAAACCTTACAGAGAGTTGTACAATGCGAGATCTGCGTCATGTGGCAGAAAACGCCAGCGAACTTTTTAACCTGTCACGTAGTAGAAAATTTTTGGTTATTCTAGAGAGCAAGGACTCTTGCCTTATTGCACACATGCATTGTGGTAGAAAACATACAATCTAGTCTGAGAAATAGCCCATTGAAAGGCCTATATTGATCCGAACCCCCGTTTAATCGAATTTAACCCAAAGGCCTATATCGCAGAGGATCATCTGTTCAGTGTGTGGCTGCATAAACTGACAAGTGTTTTAGAACTTGAATTATTAAATTTATTGGAGAATGGAAACATCACTGCAAGAAAATACTAAAAACTTGAAACAAGAGAAGAACCTGAAACAAGAGAGGATCCAAGAACATAACAATCTTTATCTCACCAAACTGGAATTAACGTTTGTTGTAAAAAAAAAACGACCCAAACATACGAAATTCAGCCATTGGAATCAATATTGAAAAATTGATTATAGATCGAATTCAGAACACTCCACGCTATATAGGTCAAGTCACACACCATTAACATATAATCAGTGAAATCATCTATCAAGTGATCTGAATGATCATATGAGCAAAGAATGTGATATGGAGACTAGAAATTTTCTATTAAACGTTTCCAATCTCTTTTATACTGGGATTTGAAAGTTTAGCAGCAGCGAGGCCTTCGTTACCTCGAAATAACGGAGTAGGAGATGGGCCAGTCTCCTATTCAATATGAGTTAAATAGCTTTGCAGTTCACAAGAACATCACCAAAAACTTCATTTTTCCCACAAATAAGCTCCATTTGACATTACAATGCCACATATGAGGGGAGGGAGCTTTGGGAAGAAGAAGGTAGATGAGAAACAAAACCAAAGTCTCGCTCGAGCCCGAGACATCATTCGAAATCTAAAATCTGCTTGAAGACTGCTCTTATCAACTCTTGTTTGCAACCTAATCTGGAAATAACAAAAATCAGTATCAGTCATATTCATGAAGCTTATACACGACTAACCAAAATGTACACATGAGAACATGCGTTTAGAAGTAATCAACAGAAAAGCAACATAAAAAGTTAATTCAACTCACGAGGGCACATGGTTCCTCAACAACTCTCTTAAGGATAAACTGTTTAAGAAAGCATTTCCAAAAAGCTTTTGTCCAATCTCCCATCATTCAACATATTAGTGACCAAGCCAATGGTTGAAGCATCTCCAGCAAATCTGCAACTCCTCATTTCTTTGATGAGTTCCGCTGATCTAGCTTTGTCACCATCTCTAAGGCGAGCCCTAATCAGCGTATTATAGCTACCGCTATCTGGAAGGGGCCCATCTTCTTTCATTTCTCTAAACAAGGCATCTGCTTTCTCCTTTAATCTTTTCCTACACAAGCCTGAGATCATTGTATTGTATGCTATAACATCAGGCTTCACTCCTTCAATCATAATATTATATGTCAATATGTCAAGTTCCATTTTACTCTTCTGCAAACACTCAAATACCACAAATGCTTTCTCTAGCCTCCCGTTATTACAAAGTCCATCTAACAAAATGTTGTAGGTCCAAAGATCGGGAGAGACACCAAGAGAATCCATTTGACTAAAAGTTTCTTGAGCCATATCACAATCTCCAGCTTGAAATAACCCTTGTATAAGAGTGTTGTAAGTGACTGTATCGCCAACCAATCCTTTTTGAGACATCTCGCGGAGTAGTTCCATACCATCCTCTACTCTCTTAGCCTTACAAAAGCCCTTTATAAGCGTACTATAAGTCACTACATCTGGAAAACAATCCTTGCTAACCATGAACTCAAACATCTGCTTGACCTTCTCTAGACGATCGTGCATACAAAACCCGTTGATCAATGAATTGTAAGTGACAATATCAAGATCTATAGACCTTTGGATCATCTCATCGAACAATTTCTCAGCCTCTAAAAGCTTCCCCTCCTTCGCAAACGCATCGATCAATGCGCTGAAAGTGACTGCATTAGGGTTGATTTTCTTCTCAATCATATCACTCAGGAGTCGAGAGGCATCACTCCATCTTCCATAACTACAGAGGGAACTTATAAGGGAGTTGTAGGTAACAACATCAGGTCTAATTCCTTTGTTCTTCAATTCATTGAATAGGTTGAGAGCATCATCCATATGTTTGTATTTGCAAAGACCATCAATGATTGTGTTGTAGATGACAAGATCAGCCTCTATTTTTCTTTCTTCCATCTTTTTGAGAACACTTACAGCCAAATCGATATCACCTCTCTTACATAATCCATTTACTACCACACCATAAGTAAACATATCTGGTTGACAGCCATTGACAACCATTCGGTCAACTAAGGCCACTGCATCTGAAACTTTATTGTGAAGAAAAAGTCCATGGATTTTAATCTCTCTAGCCCCTTTGGGAAGATTCAATTTTTGGAAAACCCCTCTTTATTCTCACTACCCCCTCTCCTTCCCAATTTTTTCATAAACCAACTCTACCCCTTATCCCTTTAATTCTACATTTAATTTAATGCCAACACATTTTTTATTCAACCAATCAAAAACTTTCTCTCTCTTCTCTCATTAAAAAAACAAACCTACTAAATGTCTCACCTTTTACGACAATAAACCTACGAGACCTTCTTCTTCTTCTTCTTCAACAGCTCCGATATTGCAGCTCCGACATTCTTCAGCAGCTCCGACGTTGCAGCTCCGGCGTTCTTCTTCTTCTTCTTCTTCTCCATCTACCATTGAAAGCTCACCATTAAAGCTTGCATCTCCAAAGACATATCTCTTCTCTTCTTCTTCTTCTATTCCCACCATACTGTAAGGTAAGTATACTTGTTTTCTTAGTGTAGTATGATTAAGTTGAATTCGTAGCTCGAATAGGGTTATTTATTGAAATATTTTAGGATTGCAGATTTGGGACAACTGAAACCACTGGGTACAACTAAGTAGAATATTTTCGAAAACTCTAAGTTTGGTGCAACTGGGACAAATGTGTACAACAATGTTGATGGTCTGCTACGAAAATTATAAAATTATAGGCCCTTTTTTCTCTCTGTTTTTTTAGGGACAATGAAAAGGAATTCAGTCATACTCCCGATCTTTGGGCACATGATTTGTGCTCAAAGTATTATTGGATCGAGCTTTGGGTTTTGGCGTATACGAGGACAATTTATCCGGTTCCCATAATAGTCAATGGGTTCTTCCTGAGGAGATAATGCAACTGTTTGCATATCCTCCGGATTATGAGGTAAAAACAAGGAAGAAGACAAGAAACAAGATTCCCCTCCGTTGGAGAACATAGAGGAAGAGGACGTAAGAAGAGGTCGCATGGATCGAGCGGTTTGGGCGTTGATGGAGACGATGATGGAGACGATGCGGGGGACCAAGGTTGATTTCTCAGTGCTATTTATTAGGTTAATTTAAGAAACGATGTTGTTTGTATTGGTTTTGTTTGTGAAACTTATATGTTCTGTGTTGTACAACTAAGTTTTAACAGGTACAATTATGGTTGATTTTCTTCTCGTATCTGTGCAAATTTTGTCAGTCTGGGTACAAATAAGTACCACAAGTACAACTAAGGTCTAATGCCTTAGCCAATTTTCAGAATTTTATATAATATGAAAATTTAAAACCAAATTAAAAAAACTTAAAAAATGCATACACGATGGTAATGAAACTACACAACAAGTTTTTGACAAAAAATTTCATATTTAAAAAAAATACTGAAATTCTTACTCAAAATCCCACATTCATACACTAACAACCTTATACTTTCATGGTTACTTTGTAGATTTGAACTAAAATTTTATAAATTTCTGAAATACTTGTATTTTGATAAATATAAATGCACAGATACAAAGTAATGGTATTTTTATGAGGCAATACCATCGGTTCCACCAACAAAAATTAAATTAGAGTTGATAACAACTAGATTTACTAAAATCTCTATATTGTACAACTATGAGCAAAAATGTGCAACCGAATACAACTGTACAACTATGAACAAATTTGAGCTATTATTTAATAATTGTTTTCAAAATAACGGCGACAGGTATACCATTTGTCAGCTTTTTTTCAAAATAACGGCGTCAGGTATGCCAAAATATCAACTAGATTCACTTTTTTTTTTTTTTTTTTTCCAAAACCCTTACAAACCTACATATTTGTCAAATTTTTTGATTAATTTAGAATTTTTTTTATTTTTATTTTGGTTCAAAATCCTTAGATTATATTCAATACATAGATTCATATATAAAAATATTAATATTCAGATTAAAAGATTCATACATAATAAAAAAACATAAATCCAGAAATATAGTTGTATCTAATCGTACCAGTTGTACCTAAACACTTATATTTATACATCAATACTAGATTTTAATCCGCGGTACACCACGGGATGATTTAATTTTAAAGTTAGTATAAAAATATTTTGTAAATTGTATCTCCTTATAACATATTTATTTTTTTTACTTTATGTATTATATGATGATTCAAAACAGTTAAAAACAAATCAAACAAAGATGATAGGAGAATCATAATTATAAATCTTAATCAAATCTTCTAAAAATCTAAATTATTAAATATGGAATATCCGGTGTATGAGTTGGGTTAAATATAACCCGACCCAACAAATTTTTTGTGAAGGAATTTTTAAAATGGGTCGGATATCCGATATACCCGAAAGCTTTTTTACCCACCCGTCACAAAAAGTGCTGCGATTATACTAGTATAGATGAGAGACCAGAATAAGGCTCTTTCTCCTTCTTCTTTTTTCATAAAGTAAGACTTAGATTTATACATCAACATCAGAGACCATAATAAGATTCATACATAATCAAAAAACATAATCCCAGAAACATGGTTATACCTAATCGTACCAGTTGTACCTAAACATTCTCCAAAGACGGTTAGACTCATTGATCTTCCATGACATCATCCTCTGCACCTGCTGTCTCTGAATGCTTTGGATCCGATTGCCTTTGTCTTTTGGGATTTCTAAGCTCGGCAGATTGTTCACTTCTAGAACAAGATGGTTCACTTCTAGAACTAGAAGCTCCTCCTATGGTAATAGCCTTTGTAAACCAACCTGCAACAACAAATACAAATTCAATATCTATCTACTTACACAAACACAAACTCACATAATCTCAAGAGATAAAGTTTGGATTTTTCAACAAATTTCAAAAAATCCGAAACACACTATTTGTATCTATCTAAATGAAAAATTCAAATCCGAAATATATAGAGAAATTCAAGATCGAACATTTGGACAAATTCAAATCCGAAAACAAGACAAATTGAAATCTGAAAATCAATCCACAAATCAAAATCTTCAAACCCCAACACAATCCATCCATAAATCATCAAAACCCAACACACTCAAACAAAAGAAACCTTAATCCATCTGTTTCAAACTTTAATTAAACCGGAATCCAATTAAACCCAACACAACACAATCAATCGAAGGATCCTTATTAAACCCTCAAAGAAAAAGAAAAAAAAAACCAAATTCAATCGAAAACCCATTCATAATCCATCTGTTTCAAACAAAATCAAACCATTATTATACCCAACACAACACAATCAATCGCTCAAAGAAAAAAATCAAACCATATCTCGGATCAATCGAAATATATGGATCAAACAAAATAATTTTTACAAAGAGAAGACAAAGAGATTTCTCACCACGGATTCACGGTGGATTTCTCGGATTCACGGTGGCTATCTCAGATTCACGGAGAAACGAGTGAAGAGGAAAGAGGAAGAAGATGGTATCGACTGAAACAAGATATACAGGAGAAGAAGAAGAGGATCCAGAAGAAGAAAACGAAATTTTGGAAGAAGAAGATGAAGGAGTGGAGTATGAAATCGGAAAATCTCAGTCACCGGTAGAGAGGAAAAGAAAACGACGGACTGTCGAGAGTGGGAGGGAGGATTGTCGTTTTTGGGAATTAGGGTTTGTTTGAGAAATAAGAGAAAGATCTGAAATTAAGCCCAATACTATTGGATATTTGACCCAAACATATATTGGGTCAGTAAATAAGTCGAAAACCCTCAATATAATTGTCTTTTACTAATATTTCAAATTAAAATAAACACTTGTATAATTTTATTTTAGAACAGGGGCTAAGTAGAAATTGATTCCACCACAGGGGGCCGATGAGATTAGAGAAAAAGTCCATGGATTAGAGTGTTAAATGTAAATGTATTAGGTTGATACCCCATTTCGACCATTTGATCAACCAAAGATACAGCCTCGGATATCCTCTTACCATGACAGTACCCATTGAGAAGAGAAGAAAGCGTGACAACATCGGGCTCATAACCGAGTTTAATCATCTTGCCAAGAAGAGCTAAAGCAAGAGAGAGTTGAGAGCGTCGGCAAAAACAGTTAATGAAAATATTGTAAGTAAACAGATCATGAGCGTCGGCAAATTTCATTTTTCCCACAAATAAGCTCCATTTGACATTACAATGCCACATGTGAGGGGAGGGAGCTTTGGGAAGAAGAAGGAAGATGAGAAACAAAACCAAAGTCTCCCTCGAGCCCGAGACATCATTCGAAATATCAACTCTTGTTTGCAACCTAATCGGGAAATAACAAAGATCAGTATCAGTCATATTCATGAAGCTTATACACGACTAACCAATATGTACACATGAGAAAATGCGTTCAGAAGTAATCAACAGAAAAGCAACATAATAAGTTAATTCAACTCGCGAGGGCACATGGTTCCTCAACAACTCTCTCAAGGATAAACTGTTTAAGAAAGCATTTCCAAAAAACTTTTGTCCAATCTCCCATCATGCAACATATTAGCGACCAAGCCAATCGCTGAAGCATCTCCAGCAAACCCGCAACTCCTCATTTCTTTGATGAGTTCTGCCGATGCCGCTTTGTCACCATCTCTAAGGCATGCCCTGATCAGTGTATTATATGTACCGCTATCTGGAGGAGGCCCATCTTGTTTCATTTTTTTGAGCAAGGCATAAGCTTCCTGGTTTAAACCTTTCCTACACAAGCCTGAGATCATTGTGTTGTAGGTTATAACATCAGGCTTCACTCCTTTAAGGGTGAGGCTACAAAATAGACCCCAACCATCTTCCACCTTCCCATCCTTACACATCCCTTCAATCATAATATTATATGTGAATATGTCAAGTTCCATTTCACTCTTCTGCAAACACTCGAATACCACCAATGCTTTCTCTAGCCTCCCGTTATTACAAAGCCCATCTAACAAAATATTATAAGTCCAAAGATCAGGAGAGACACCAAAAGAATTCATATGACTAAAAGTTTCTTGAGCCATATCACAATCTCCAGCTTGAAATAACTCTTGGATAAGAGTGTTGTAAGTGACTGTGTCGCCAACCAATCCTCTTTGAGACATCTCGCGGAAGAGTTCCATACCATCTTCTACCTTCTTAGCCTTACAAAATCCCTTTATGAGCGTATTATAAGTCACTACATTTGGGAAACAGCCCTTGGTAACCATAAACTCAAACATCTGCTTGGCCTCGTCTAGGCGATGACGCATACAAAACCCATTGATCAAAGAATTGTAGGTGAAAATATCAGGATCTATAGACCTTTTGATCATCTCCTTGTACAATTTCTCAGCCTCTAAAAGCTTTCCCTCCTTCACAAACGCATCGATCAATGCGCTGAAGGTGACTACATCGGGGTTGATTTTCCTCTCAATCATATCACTCAGTAGTCGAGAGGCATCACTCCATCTTCCGTAATTACAAAGGCAACTAATGAGGGAGCTGTAGGTAACAACATTAGGTCTAATTCCTTTGTTTTCCATTTTGTTGAATAGGTGGAGCGCATCATCCATATGTTTGTATTTGCAAAGACCATCAATGACTGTGTTGTAGATTACAACATCTGGCTCTACTTTCCATAATTCCATCTTGTTGAGCAGATTTAAAGCCAAATCAGTATCACCTCTCTTGCATATTCCGTTTACTACCACACCATAAGTAACCAAATCTGGTTGACATCCTTTCAGAGCCATCCGTTCAACTAAAGCCACAGCTTCGGAAGCTTTGTTGTGGAGAAAAAGCCCATGAATCAAAGTTGTAAATGTAACGGTATTAGGTTGATATCCCATTTCGACCATTTGATCAACCAAAGCTACAGCCTCGGAAATCCTCTTACCGTGGCAGTACCCATTGAGCAGCGAAGAAAGCGTAACAATGCTGGGCTCATAGCCGAGTTTCATCATCTTCCCAAGAACAGCTAAAGCAAGAGAGATTTGAGAGCGTCGACAGAAACAGTTGATCAAAATATTGTATGAGTAGAGATCATATGAAATCCCCAGATTTTGCATCCGCTCGCCAAGAGAGATGACAACATCAAACTTCTTCATCTTAGCAATTGCACTCAACAATTTACTGAAATCAACAATGGAAGGTAAAGGACGAGACTTTACCATTTCACTGAACAAATCAACAGCATCGTCTAACCTAATATCACCCAGCCCATTTCTGAGTATCTCTCTGTAATCATAACTACTCTTACCATCAAAAGCTCTTCTCTGGCAAAGAGAAAAAGAGGGAGGAAAAGTTGCAGCATTACCTCTCACCACAAGACTCCGATAAACAAATCTCTTCCCTCTAGATGATATCTTTGCAAGCATTCTCTCGATTTGGCTTCCCAATTTCTCTGTAAAATTCAACAAAACCCTAAACGAACCACTGAGACTGTGAAAGAATCTCGAGCTCTGCAAATATGGAAGATGGAGACAGGAGAAGAAGCGTAGGAGGGGACTTGGGGATTTTTGTTTAATAACGGAACAGATGTGGTTCGTGAAGAGCTTACGTGTCCGGCTGATTTAGTAAACCAAAACTGTTATCCAACCCAAATTAAATTAAAATTGGAACCGGAATAAAGTATGGTTTAGGTTGGTTTAACAAAATGTTAGATCCGGTTAAGCTTAAAAGTGTATTATTAGAAAAGAAATCAGAAAATTTCTTCATCTCCGATTTTAAAATTTAACCTCGATTCCTTCCTAGCAATAAGTCTGTTTTCGCTTAGGGATCTCGGTTTGTTTTACACTAATAATCTCATTTACATGATATATTCTTCTATATACAATGACCGAAATTGAGAAAGGTGAAAAAAATGAATTGCAACAAAACAAGATATGTTTCATGAAGCTTAGACACAACAGCCACTGCTATATCCACATGTAACATGAGAACATAATGACTGTATTTAGAAGTAACCAATAGAAAAGCAACATGAAAAGCTGATCGACCTCAAGGATGTCTTAAGAAAGCATTTCCAAAAAGCTTTTGTCCAATCTCCCATCATGCAACATATTAGTGAATAGTTTTTGGGCCATATCACAATCTCCAGCTTGAAATAACCCCTGGATAAGAGTGTTGTAAGTGACTGTATCGCCAACCAATCCTTTTTGAGACATCTCCCGGAAGAGTTCCATACCATCTTCAATCTTCGTAGACTTGCAAAATCCCTTTATGAGAGTAGTATATGTCACTACATTTGGGTAACAATCCTTGCTAGCCATGAACTCAAACATCTGTTTGGCCTCATCTAGACGATCGTGCATACAAAACCCGTTGATCAATGAATTGTAAGTGAAAATATCAGGATCTATAGACCTTTTGATCATCTCCTTGTACAATTTCTCAGCCTCTATAAGTTTCCCCTCCTTCACAAACGCATCGATCAATGCGCTGAAAGTAACTACGTCGGGGTTGATTCTCCTCTCGATCATATCGCTCAGCAGTCGAGAGGCATCACTCCATCTTCCGTAATTACAAAGGCAATTAATGAGGGAGCTGTAAGTAACAACATTTGGTCTAATTCCTTTGTTCTCCATTTCATTGAATAGGTTGCATGCATCATTCACATGTTTGTATTTGCAGAGACCATCGATAACTGTGTTGTAGATTACAACATTTGGCTCTATTCTCCCTTTCTCCATCTTCTTCAACAAACTCAAAGCCAAATCAATATCACCTCTCTTACATAACAAAGATCAGTATCAGTCATATTCATGAAGCTTATACACGACTAACCAATATGTACACATGAGAAAATGCGTTCAGAAGTAATCAACAGAAAAGCAACATAATAAGTTAATTCAACTCGCGAGGGCACATGGTTCCTCAACAAATCTCTCAAGGATAAACTGTTTAAGAAAGCATTTCCAAAAAACTTTTGTCCAATCTCCCATCATGCAACATATTAGCGACCAAGCCAATCGCTGAAGCATCTCCAGCAAACCCGCAACTCCTCATTTCTTTGATGAGTTCTGCCGATGCCGCTTTGTCACCATCTCTAAGGCATGCCCTGATCAGTGTATTATATGTACCGCTATCTGGAGGAGGCCCATCTTGTTTCATTTTTTTGAGCAAGGCATAAGCTTCCTGGTTTAAACCTTTCCTACACAAGCCTGAGATCATTGTGTTGTAGGTTATAACATCAGGCTTCACTCCTTTAAGGGTGAGGCTACAAAATAGACCCCAACCATCTTCCACCTTCCCATCCTTACACATCCCTTCAATCATAATATTATATGTGAATATGTCAAGTTCCATTTCACTCTTCTGCAAACACTCGAATACCACCAATGCTTTCTCTAGCCTCCCGTTATTACAAAGCCCATCTAACAAAATATTATAAGTCCAAAGATCAGGAGAGACACCAAAAGAATTCATATGACTAAAAGTTTCTTGAGCCATATCACAATCTCCAGCTTGAAATAACTCTTGGATAAGAGTGTTGTAAGTGACTGTGTCGCCAACCAATCCTCTTTGAGACATCTCGCGGAAGAGTTCCATACCATCTTCTACCTTCTTAGCCTTACAAAATCCCTTTATGAGCGTATTATAAGTCACTACATTTGGGAAACAGCCCTTGGTAACCATAAACTCAAACATCTGCTTGGCCTCGTCTAGGCGATGACGCATACAAAACCCATTGATCAAAGAATTGTAGGTGAAAATATCAGGATCTATAGACCTTTTGATCATCTCCTTGTACAATTTCTCAGCCTCTAAAAGCTTCCCCTCCTTCACAAACGCATCGATCAATGCGCTGAAGGTGACTACATCGGGGTTGATTTTCCTCTCAATCATATCACTCAGTAGTCGAGAGGCATCACTCCATCTTCCGTAATTACAAAGGCAACTAATGAGGGAGCTGTAGGTAACAACATTAGGTCTAATTCCTTTGTTTTCCATTTTGTTGAATAGGTGGAGCGCATCATCCATATGTTTGTATTTGCAAAGACCATCAATGACTGTGTTGTAGATTACAACATCTGGCTCTACTTTCCATAATTCCATCTTGTTGAGCAGATTTAAAGCCAAATCAGTATCACCTCTCTTGCATATTCCGTTTACTACCACACCATAAGTAACCAAATCTGGTTGACATCCTTTCAGAGCCATCCGTTCAACTAAAGCCACAGCTTCGGAAGCTTTGTTGTGGAGAAAAAGACCATGAATCAAAGTTGTAAATGTGACGGTATCTGGTTGACATCCCATTTCGACCATTTGATCAACCAAAGCTACAGCCTCGGATATCCTCTTACCATGACAGTACCCGTTGAGAAGAGAAGAAAGCGTGACAACATCGGGCTCATAACCAAGTTTCATCATCTTGCCAAGAACAGCTAAAGCAAGAGAGATTTGAGAGCGTCGGCAAAAGCAGTTAATCAAAATATTGTATGAATAGAGATCATATGAAATCCCCAGATTTTGCATCTGCTCGCCGAGAGAGATGACAACATCGAACTTCTTCATCTTAGCAATAGCACTCAACAGTTTACTGAACTCAATAATCGAAGGAAAGGGACGAGACTTGACCATTTCATTGAACAGAGCAACAACATCATCTAGCTTCAAATCGAGTAACGCATTTCTACTCAATTTCTGTCTGTAATCATAACTACTCTTACCAGAGAGAGCTCGTCTCCAGCAACAGACACATTTCTCGAAATGACTCCGACGAAGAAATCTCTTCGCTATCATCGATTCTATCGCAAACCTCATTTTTCTCGAATGGCTTCTCAGGTGATTTAGGTTTCTTCTCAATCACGAACATAAGTGGTCTAGTTAACCTGAAACCGGTTTAGTTAATTGGGTAATTGAGTCTTGCCGGTTTGCGTATTCTTTTCTTCTTTTTTTCTTTTTTTTTTTTTTTTTTTTTTTTCTTTTTTGGTTTGTTGTCTGATTACTTCATTACCTCATTTTTTCTTTATTTATTTCAAAGATCCTTTTGTCAATTTTACTCATTTTCAATGTAACAATTCAGAATTTTTATTTTCTCATATTTTCAAATTTTGAAGAGAGGAAAATTTTCTTACCGCAAGCCAAACTTTTACAAAATTGTGGGTAATATATTAATGTTGACTTAAAAATGAATTCAAGTCAAATGTTGAAGGTTTTCGGGTTGATATCCCATTTCAACCATTTGATCAACCAAAGCTACGGCATCAGAAATCCTCTTACCGTGACAGTAGCCATTGAGCAGCGAAGAAAGCGTGACAATATTGGGCTCATAGCCGAGTTTCATCATCTTGCCAAGAAGAGCTAAAGCAAGAGAGATTTGAGAGCGGCCGCAAAAACAGTTAATCAAAATACTGTAAGTATAGAGATTATGTGAAATTCCTAACATTTGCATTTGCTCGCCGAGAGAGATGACAACATCAAACTTCTTCATCTTAGCAATGGAACTCAATAATTTACTGAACTCAATGATGGAGGGAAAGGGACGAGACTTGACCATCTCACTGAACAAAACAATAGCATCATCTAGCTTTATATCACTCAGCCCATATCTTAATACCTCTCTGTAATCATGAATCTTGCCAGAGAAAGCTCGTCTCCGGCAAATGGAAAATGAAGGAGAAACAGTTGCAGCATTACCTCTCATCAGAAAACTCCGATGAACAAATCTTTTCCCTGTAGATGCAATCGCAAACGATCTCATCATCTTCTCGATTTGGTTTCTTCTCAATCTCTCTGATTCGGAATCTAATCGCTCCGTAAAATTCAACAAAACCCTAAACGAACCACTGAGACTGTGAGAGAGAGAGTGAAGAATGCTGAGACCGGTTTAGTAATTATGTTATTTGGGGATTATCGGTTTGCGTTTTTAAACCGAATCAAGAATCAGAACAAAAAAGATGGTAGTAGTACATTTTATGATTTTGTTGGGGAAGACACAACAACATTTCTGGGCTATTAACAACAAAATCAGAGACAGAGATGCTAAGACATCCATTTTCCAACAAAATCGGTTCCATGCTGTTTTAAGCACTCTTTCCTGAGTCCTGACCGACGATTCTCAGTTGAATAGGCCTTTCTAGTAACCCATACCTGAATTTGGTCAAGCCTTCGTAGACCTTTAATCTCTCTCTCTCTCCACCCTTCTTAATAAATCATTTCGCCTTGCCTTTGATACTACCTTTGATCACAAGACAACGAGACAGAGAAGCAACCACCAATCGCTTCAGAAACACAGACAGAGATTTTCAAAGGAACAAACAACATGATGCTGTTAGCAAAAACTTACATTTGCAGAGAGCAAAGAAAAAGTAAGTTTTGCTTTATTGATAGGTCCAGCCAAATAATAAAGAATACCTTTACCCTTTTCAATGATTGCTTTGTTTCCACAATTAGAATATCCTGTTTAATTAAAACTTACACAACAGTTTTAATAGCTACTCTACGACAGGAACTGAGGTGTCCAAGGTCTTTCCTACGAAAATTTTACAACTTCAATTGCTTACAAGTGAGTTGTCAATTATTAGGAAGAACAAAAGATAAGATGGACAAGGGAAATAGATTTCTCTTACAAGTGAGAAAGCTTTGCCTTTATTTACAACATCTTGGCTTTTTCTAACCTCTGGCAGAGCATTTTTCCTATATATGTTTATGCACAAAGACAGAAATCGTGATAAGATTGAGAGAAACCAAGTGATGCTCATTCTTCCTCAAGCCGAGCCAAATACATCTTTTTACTAGATTCATCTCCTTTTCCTGCATTGCGTAGCCAGCACGGTTTTAGTACTCAAATTGTGATATAAATTGCACCCAGAAAGCGCGAGACAGCAAAGATTATTCATGTATTTCTGTTCATCAACAGTAACACTTCAACTGGTTTTGATAAAGGGTAAGCGATACATATATCTTCAAAACAGAAGAGTTTGGGCTGATGTATAAGCTAGATGAGTCAAAGAAAGCATGAATCAGGGACAAGTTTGGAGATCGAATTTGGGAGATTTATATAATCTTTCTAAAGCTATAACAGAACAGCCAGACAACTTCAATCTGGTAGTAAAAACGATCTCAAACCAAAGGATTTCGAAAGACAAATAAAACCATGAACAATTAGTCCAGCATGAGCAGACCATTAAATGTGATTTGATTATCAAAGACAAAAATTTCACCTTAAGCGTTGAGATGAAAAGGAGAAGATGAAGCAATGCTAATCGGCACCATGGATAGAGCTGCTGCTGCTGGTGATGACAGCCAAAACCCTCCCAGAGAATCCCTTCGAAATGTACAACCCAAATCCAGAATCTCCAACCAGGAATGACGAGGTTAGTGAAGAACCCAGATGCATTCACTTTTCGATAACACTTGACTGACCACCATTACTCAATGCTTGGATGAAGCAATTGAGGATTTCTCTACTTATATTAGAGAAACACCGATTGCCAGTGGTTCAATCACCGCTGAAACCGCAGTAACAATTACAAGAGAGACAGAGCTTTTTTGCATCCCACAGGTTTGATGTCTCCAAGCAAGGACGGTGCATAGCCACAGCTCAACATTTTCTTGATGAGTTCAGCTGATATGGTTATGTCACCATCTCCAAGGCATAGCATGCTGTCATTTTTCATAAGCCCCTCTTGTTTCATTTTTGTATACAGTGCTTCAACTTCATGTTGTAGGCCTTTTGTACACAACCCTGACATCATTGTAGTGTATGTTACAATATCAGGCTTCAATCCTTTAAGGCTGAGGCTACAAAATAAACCCCAAGCGTCTTCAACCTTACCAGTCTTGCACATTCCTTGGATAACAGTAGTATATGTGACAATATCAAGATCCATTTCACTCTTTTGCATATCTTCAAATATCACCAACGCTTTCTCTAGCAACCCGTTGTCACAAAGACCACCTAGCAAAATGTTATAGGTCCAAATGTCAGGAGAGACACCAAAAGAATCCATCTGACTAAAAAATTCTTGAGCTTTATCAACATCGCCTACTTGAAAAAACCCTTGGATAAGAGTGTTGTAAGTGACTGTATTGTTAACTAATCCTCTCTGAGACATCTTACGAAACAGTTTCATCCCATCCTCTACTCTCTTCGCCTTACAAAATCCATTTATAAGAGTGTTGTAACTCACTACATCTGGGAAACAACCCTTGCTTACCATCAAATCAAACATTTGGTTGGCCTCATCTATGCGATCGTGTAAACAAAGCCCATTGATCAACGAACTGTAAGTCACGATATCAGGATCGATAGACATACGTACCATCTCCTCGAAAATCTCTTTAGCCTCCAAAACCTTTCCGTTTTTCACAAACGCATCGAGCAACGCACTATAAGTAATCACATTAGGGGTGATTTTCCTCTTGATCATATCTCTCAAAAGCCGAGCAGCATCATTCCATCTACCCGAATTACAAAGACCATTTACAAGCGCAGTGTAGGTAACAACATTCGGTCTAATCCCTTTCCTTCCAATTTCCTTGAAAAAATCAAGAGCATCATTCACACGTCTGGTTTTGCAAAGACTATCAATGATCGCGTTGTACGCAACAATATCCGGTCTATATCCAATCTCCACCATCTTATCAACCAAAGATACAGCATCAGAAACTCTATTCCTACGACAAAATCCATTAACAAGAGATCCAATCGTGACTCTATCTGGCTCATAACCAAGTTTCAACATCTTGCCAAGAACAGATAAAGCAAGAGAGACTTGAAAACAGCAACAGAAACAATTTATCACAATATTGAATGTATAAAGATCATTTCGAATCCCCAAAACTTCCATCTTCTTCCCCAGAGATATCACAACATCATACTTCTTCATCTTAACAATGGCACTCAACAATCTATTGAAATCGACAATGGAAGGGAAGGGACGAGTCTTGACCATTTCTCTGAACAGATTAATCGCATCATGTAGCTTTATATCACGAAGCCGAGTTTTGCTTAATCTCTCTCGCAGATCACCACCACTGACGCTAGAAGAAGCTCGTGCCGAGCAACGACAGGAACTGCAATGGCTAAACGAAGGAGAAGAAGCAGTTCTAGGTTTACCATTCTCAAGAAGATTGCGATGAAGAAATCTCTTCGCCGTCATCGCAATCGATCTCTGCATTTCGATTTCTTCTGTCTGATTGAGAAATCCTAAAACCAAGTGTTTATTGAAAGAGATGGGAATGAAAACCGGTTTAGTTCCGGTTATGGTTCGGTTTAAAATATCTTTTTGTTATAAACACCAGTAATTGCATCAAATCAAAGTGGTTAACGAATAGGTTTCGCTTCGAATTTTCAGTTTATTTTCGCAATTTGATAAAGATCGAGTACAATTATTTAAACGAATTTGGTTTATGTTTTAACATCGGTTCGGTTTAGGATTCAGATCATATTTTGGTTAAGTAGTGGTGTTCAAAATCTTTTTTTTTTTTTCCCTCAATGGTGTTCAAAATCTAGGTTTGGATTGGGGGGTTATTTGATTTTTCAGATTTTTTTAACTCTGGGAAAATATTTACCACCACACTAAAACTAATATAACAGGGACTGGTTTTGTTTAACATTTTGGTTAATTTCTTGTTGGTAAGGTTTCTAATTCGGTTTTTTGATCTTATCTGTTGGTTTGTTTTGGTTATCTCTTATCTGAATTGAACACCCCTTCATTGAGTGATTGTTGACAAAAATTACGATGAAAAAAGTATCAAAGTTCTGACAAAATAATTTGTCAATTTTGCTAAATTATGAGAAACTGTGTTCAGTTTCCTCTAATCTGAAACCTCTAAGCTAAAGAGGCAAAAGAGTAATTTACTTACTTCTAAACCTATTGTCTTATACTAACTAAGAAAGAGTCTTGATTTCAGAGTTACCACCTTCTCTTCTCCTGCATTCAAAATGTTTTCACTACATTAACAATAACATAAACAAGAACCAAACACATAAATCCACAAGAAGAAAAAACAATTTTTGACTCGGTTCAAATCATTCACCTGTCTTGAACCTAGGTTCTTAGGTTGTCTCCAAGGGCATTTCGACTTAGCTGGGAGTCCCGAAACAATGACTCTCTTTGAGACATCCACAACATCTGTCTCAACTTCAATGGTTGAGTTATGTGAACTCAAACATCTCTTCTTCACCGAGCTCATCTCTTCTTCATCCCTTTCTCCTATACCTTCCTCCTCTTGATGATCTTGAACACTTCCATTAGATTCAAGAATCGATTCCTCAGTTATAGAAGTCTCTGTCTCCGAATGATTTGATGATTCCTTTGTTATGTCTAGGAAGTCTCCATGAGACTGCAGGACAATTCCATCCTTTAACATTTCAAACAAATTCTAAGCTCTTAGAATTCAAAATATCACAAAGTCGCAGCGGATATAAATCGGTTCGAATAGAATTTGATTTACTCTTCTTCTTACCTTAAACTTAGATTGCATCAAAAGCTCATCAGCATTGGATAAATGTTTTGAAGGAACACCACAACCTTCTGGAAAATCCCTGTAAACTGTCACAAATCTTCTCTTGTACCGCATTTTTCGTCGAAATCAAAACCTTAAAACACCATCAATTTCACAAAATTAGAAACGCTTTCAATCAATTTCAACAATTTCTTGGTTGTGAATTGTAACAAAATCCAAGAAATCATTATAAAATGCATCAATCCAAAAAACCCAGAAACCATTTCTTGAAAAAAAAAAAAAACCTAACAAAATTGCAACAACGCAAAGAATCTATGGGTAAGCTCACGATATTGCGATAAAGAATCAACGAAAATTTACTTCAGGAACACGGAAATGCTAAAAGCGAGAGATCGACCATATACAACACAAAATTATGATTCGAAGAAGACAAAAAGCATTACCAATGGAGAAAATGCGTAAAGAGAATCAATTCACCTCGGATATGACTCGATGAGGGTTTCTTTCTGATAAAGCGGGGTAAGTGACCTGGAGTATGTATTAAGACAAATTGTTACTGTATACGCTTTTTCTAAGCCCAATTTGTTTACCAATTTTAGGCCCATCAAAGAATATTATGCATAATATGAAAATTGAAAATGATAAAAAGTGGCCATTTGATTTATTTTCAATTAAGTTTGCGATTTACAATAAATTTTAGAGCAACATACATTATCATTTAAAATTAACTTGTATATACAAAATAAGATATTTTTAATGTTATATCATATCATGCGCCAAATTATATGATCAAACATTTACTTGTATTATTGAGATTTGAGTCCTTAATAATTTTTCATATACATTAAATAAATTTGTTAGTCTTGCTATTATTAAACTAACGTTTTTATTTAATTAAGTACTAATCCCTTCATTTTTACCATTAAAAAAATCCCTTGAGAACTTGGGATTTGTCATTTGTGGCGTAAACGTACGCCCTAATTAAGAAAAACACTAATGTCTTTTTTGTTAAAAAAAGAAATACTAATGATAAAGCGTCACATGGTTTTGTCTCATATAATGCTTGCTCCCTAAGTTGTTGAGATCAATGTCTAACAATGGTCAATTTTGTTTTAATAGTTTTATACACTACAAGAAAACACTTCATTTATGACTGTGAAAATGGTCGCTAAACGGTCGCAAAAGAGAGTTTTGCAACTGAATAACGACTATTTCTATTAGTCGAAAAAAAACGGTCGCACAATTTCCTTGTCTCATTATAGTCGCTAATTTGCGACTATTTGGCGACTATAAATATATCGTCGCAGATTAACGACTAATCTGTGATAGGTGAATATCGTTGCAAATTTGCAACTATTTAAGGACTCATTTATTATGGTGACAATATAGTCCTTTATTAGTAACCATTTTGATACGAGATATAGAGTTATTTGTAAATTTGTTTAGTCACAGTTTGGTCACATTTGTTAATTGTTCTGGTCACAAACTAGTTAGAATTTCTAAAACTTTTTGGTCACAAAATGGTTACATCTTATTAGTCCGAAACCTGTCCATTTCAAAAGCAAATGCATTAAAAAACCATTCAAATATCAATCAAGTACCATTCCAAACCATTCAAAAACTATCCTAATCAAAGCATAACATATCCTAATAAGTTCACATACACAGACAAAAGGAAACTAAAATCAAGTTGAATGATTTGAGGCGGTGTTAGATAGAGGAGAGGTTGGTGTGGTTCCAGTGGTGTGTCCTGCTGGTTGGACTGCAGCTCACCATATTCTTCATCCGGCGTTGACAGATTTCCTCGAACCACCATTGAACTGTCCCTGTTATCAAGGGATCCCAGGTGTAGATTTTCTACAACACAAAGACATGAAGACCAGAGTTTGTGAAACAACAAAAATAATCATTAGATGTGAAGGATATAGGACAGAATAATGTACCGCGAACTCGATGAAGTATCTTTCTTGTCTCTCACGCGGCACACAAGTCCAGCTATAGTAGGGACCATCGAATTTGTTTTTAAAATTTTTAGTAATCTTCCTAACCAGTCTTGATTTAACATCACGAGTAAACCTGCACCACTTGTAAACAGGTAGAAAAGTTAATAGTATCAAATACTCAAAAACAAAGTAAACCAGAAGTACCTAAGACATTAAGCAAAGTGTCTACACTCAGACTTGGTAAAAACTTCTTTGAACAACTCAAATGCATGAAATGTATCATTGAACTAAGACAACATTGAAAAGCAAACCAGAAGCAACAAAAAAAGCTGGCCAATAATCACACACTCTAACATTGAAAAACATATCAGAAGCAACCAAAAAAAAAGCAAACCAGAAACAATTTATTACATACTTTCAATGTTAGAGTGTACTGATTAGCTACTGATCATGTCACAAGCAAAGCCATATATTAAAACATCAAACTAAGACAATAGAGAAAGAAGTGATACGTTTAGACATCAACCTACTACAATCAGACATCAACCAATACTACAATCAAACATCAACCTATACTACAATCAGACATCAACCAATACTACAATCAAACATCAACCTATACTACAATCAGACATCAACCTATACTCAGACACTCTAACTATGAAAAGGAACACAATTGATACGTTTATCAATAGAGAAAGAATTCAGACCAAGTGGTGTTTTCTCTCGGTGTTGGAGAGAGGACCGTGGTAAACTGATCCCGGTCTGGCACCTGAAGCAGAGCATTCAGAGCCTGTAGCGTTTCTTCCTCGAGCTCCGGCAACATTGGAGAAAACTCCATGAAGTTATTTCCTTGAGAAGAATAAGGCTGACTATGACCCACACTCGGACCATCAGAGTTCAGATGTGAATGTGGAGACGGTGGAGCCTCATCTTCTGGCTGCGGTTGATGCGGAGTAGGTTGCTGTGGAGTCGGTTGACGGACTTCTTCCTATGATTGACGCTGTCACGGTTGACTCTGAGACTGAGAGTTCACGAACAGCTGTTGTGGGGGTGGATAGTCCCGGACATGTACTGTAGAGGTTGAATGTTGGGGAACAATGCGAGGCTGCTGTACTGGCGGCTGAACCCGAGGATCTGGGACCGCCGGCGGTGTGAAATCGTATTGAGGAGGTAGAGTTGTGGGTCTTTTCGGAGCAATAGACGTACCAGGAGCTCTCTAAGAAGCGTTGGGAACATTTCTTCTCCTCCGTCCTCGACCAGTCATCGTGTTGGGAAGATTCGCGAAGTGATTTTAGAGGATTCCGAGAAGAAGAAGAGAGATGGTGAGGATTCGAAATAGGATTAGGGTTTTGACGGAGAAGGAAATAAGAAATGGAGAGGATTCGAAGAAGAAGAAGAAGAAGATGAGTCGATTCGAAGAAGAAGATGAGTCGATTCGAAGAAGAAGAAGAAGAAGAGAGATGGAGAGGATGCTAGTAAGATTAGGGTTTTGATGGAGAAGGAAAAAAGAAATGGAGAGGATTCGAAGAAGAAGAAGAAGAAGAAGTAGAAGAAGATGAGTCGATTCGAAGAAGAAGAAGAGAGATGGAGAGGATGCTAGTAAGATTAGGGTTTTGACGGAGAAGAAGAAGAGATCTATCCCTCTTTCTCGAGAAAATTAGGGTTAGTTTAGTGGGTTTCTTAATGGCCCGAAACATTTGGGTTTAAACATTTGGTCGCTCTTTAGTCACAAATTAGTGACAAAGTAAAAAAATTGGGAGGAATCGGAACCGCCCAAACACTTAGCCAAAATCATAGAAATTTCACAAACCGTAGCTAAATAGTCTCACTATTGGTCGGCAAATAGTTGTACTATTCGTCGCAAAATAGTTGCTAAATGAACAATAGTTACAAAATGGTGGCAAAACTGCGACCGTTTTGTGACTTTCGTCTATTAGTCACAAGACAAAATTTATAAATCTACACATTGTGATCCAAAATGGTGATATATATCACTCAAAAATACTCATATTAGTGTTATAGAGGACATATATTAGTTTAAAGTTGAAATTTTTTGCAAAATTCAAGTAATATAGATATTTTACTAAATCTCTAAACATTACTCATAAGAGTAATGTAACAAGACAAAGAGATTTGAATGTTTTGAATGTTTTGTTTTTAAACATCAATATTTATGTCTTTGGTTAAGATTTTATTACTAAGTAACATCAAATGAGTGTAGAATTGTTTAACTTTATATGCAAACAAATTTAAAATGTGAAAATTGAGAAAAACAAAATCGAGGGTTGGTAAATAATCGCAAAACGGTCGCTATCTCAGGTGCCAGTCGCAAAAAAGTCGCAAAATCTTCAGGTGCTAGTCGCAAAATACGTACTACTTAGCGACTAAAATAAAATTTGGTCGCTCTTTAGTCGCAAATTAGTGACAAAGTAAAAAAATTAGGGGGAATCGGAACCGCCCAAACACTTAGCCAAAATCATAGAAATTTCACAAACCGTAGCTAAATAGTCGCACTATTGGTCGGCAAATAGTTGCACTATTCGTCGCAAAATAGTTTCTAAATGAACAATAGTTACAAAATGGTGGCAATTTTGCGACTGTCTTGTGACTGGTATCTATTAGTCACAAGATAAAATTTAGAAACCTACACATAGTGATCCAAATTGGTGATAGATATCACTCAAAAATACTCATATTAGTGTTATAGAGGACATATATTAGTTTAGGGTTGAAATTTTTTGCAAAACTCAAGTAATATAGATATTTTACTAAATCTCTAAACATTACTCTATTACTCATAAGAGTAATGTAACAAGACAAAGAGATTTGAATGTTTTGTTTTTAAACATCAATAATTATGTTTTTGCTTAAGATTTTATTACTAAGTAACATCAAATGAGTGTAGAATTGTTTAACTTTATATGCAAACAAAGTTAAAATGTGAAAATTGAGAAAACAAAAATAGAGAGTTGGTAAATAGTCGCAAACTGGTCGATTTATCAGGTGTCAGTCGCAAAATCTTCAGGTGCTAGTTGCAAACCGGTCGCTATCGCTGCATTTTTAACGTGTTTTATAACACTCTTTCTAACTAATTTGCAACGAAAATGTAACTATAACAAGTGGTTGTTAACTAGTTGCACATTTGAGACTACATTGCGACGATCATTTGAGACCAAAAGTTGAGTCGCACATCAGTCGCATATCAGCCACTCATTTGCGACTATAATAAATTAGTATGTAATCGGTTTTAAAATCGTCGCACATTAACGACTAAGTAAAGACTATTTGTTTTAGTCGCAGAATAGCGACTATATTCCATCTGTAAATATTGTGGTCGCTAAATGTTCGTTCAGAAGTCACAAAATAGTCGCAAACATTTGCGACTAATAATTCGGTCGCAAAGTTTAGTTGCAAAACGCAGGTTTTCTTGTAGTAATTATAATTATGCAATAAAAAGTCGATGTTATCCGAGGCTTTCGCTTAGACCGGAACCGTGTTGGATGTCAATCCTAAAGAGCACGCCCAAATAATGATGTTCCTTACTTCCTTCACAAAATTAAATGAACTGAGATTATTCATAGCTAAAATGTTATGTATCACATAATGGTATATAGTTGTTATGGAGAAAATATATTATACAAATATAGTTGTTAAAAAAAATCCAAAAAAAAGTAGTGATACTGATATGTCTGATATTTACAATTTAGTCATATCATTCATATAAGCTAGATAGAAGATCCAAATACTTTCATTTATAAGTGAAAAAAGTAACATAGATTCATGCATCTTTAATTTCTAATTTTGGAGCCTGATGTTTATGCTAACAAATTTATTAATTCTATTCAAATCAGCCATATGGCGATCCGATATAATTAAAAGATTTTGTCTCTAATAGATTGAGCTAATTGACTTCGAGGAAACAAAATTTTCAACTTTAACGTACAGTATTGTTTCTTCTGCCTCCCTTGATATAAAACATTATGATTATAATTTTATAATAATACCTAAGGACAAAGCACGCCTTTGTTATCTTCCTTTTCTAACACGGCTTGTTTCTCTATATACATATGTATATTCTTGAGCCAACATGTCATAACAATTTTGTTTTCTTCAAATGCACAAATCGTCTCAATGCCATCTTTACTTCTCAGTGACACTCCTTTCTCTGGGTTCACTTGCTAACTCTTCTTTCAAGTTGTTCTTGTTCTCATCAAGATAACTCAAAATGTGTAAGTCAATCCAAATTAAAGTCAATTGGTAAAACATTTATTGTTCATTTGTTTACTATTTATGGTATACTCCCTCTGTTTCGTTTTAGTTATCGTTTAAGGTTTTTTCACACAAATTAAGAAAAACATTAAATTTTCTGTTTTACCCTTTATTAATATATTTTATAAAAAAATTTATTGGTCAAAACATTAAAAAAATAGGGATAATGCTGGAATTTTTACCAAACATTTGCATTGAAAACCTAAAACGACAACTATTAAGAAACAAAATTTAAGTCCTAAAACGGCAACTAAAACGAAACGGAGGGAGTATAAGTTAAACATTTGTTGTTCTACTTATTTTTTTTCCTATATATATGGTGATGTCTAATATATAAAAGTAGTAAGCGGATTATAATGGTATCTCTTTAATTTGGGTTATGTACAAATGTAAGTAGTAAGCGGAATTTTAATATATGTAACACTTTGCTGATGTAATTATTTGGATATAAGAAAATTTACATACAAATAATCATATGATGGAAGAACCAAAAAAATGAGGGACATGAATTAAGTGAGTATACAACAATTAAAATATATATAACTACAAGTATAAAGTTTCTCTGAAGTAGTTGTCCCTTCATATACCAGAATTGGTCTCACATATAAATAAATCATAACTCATATGGTTTATATATAAAATTAGGGATGCATATACATTCATATATACATACATACATACATACATCCGATCCATACATACACACATACATGTGTGCGTATAACATATAGTTCAATAATTAACAAAAATAATCAAAAGATAACTATTGGATAATGAATTGTCGTGTCTCCTCTCAAATTAGAGACATCAATATATAGAGTTACAAAGATTACTAGGGTATACATCAAAGGGTAGAGATGGAAATATACATATCCTAACACCCCCCCGCAGGCTTAGCGTCGGGTGGTCTAATGCTAAGACTGGTTCGAAAAGACGTAAAAAGCGGAGATGGTAGACCCTTAGTGAATATGTCAGCGAACTGATGAGCAGAAGGAACATGTAAAACCTTGACTTCCCCGAGAGCAACACGTTCTCGAACAAAGTGTATGTCGATCTCTATATGCTTTGTTCGTTGATGTTGAACAGGATTGGAAGACATGTAGATGGCACTAACATTATCACAATAAACGATCGTTGCCTTAGGAATCGCGATATGCATCTCAAGTAACAAAGTACGGAGCCATGTAGCCTCAGAGACTGCGTTAGCGACACCACGATATTCAGCCTCCGCACTAGAGCGAGAAGTAGTGGGTTGGCGTTTCGATGACCAAGACACTAAATTGTCGCCGAGGAAGACACAAAAGCCGGAGGTAGAACGGCGAGTGGAGGGGCAACCAGCCCAATCAGCATCGGAATAAACGACAAGATTCAGAGATGAAGACTTGTAAAGATGAATCCCATGGGAGATTGTACCTTTGACATACCGTAGAATGCGCTTAAGAGCGTGGAAATGTGATTCACGAGGGTCGTGCATAAACAAGCAAATTTGTTGCACCGCATAAGAGATGCCGGGACGGGTAAATGTCAAATATTGAAGCGCCCCTGCTAAGCTGCGATAGAGAGTAGGATCAGCAACCTTAGGACCATCAGCTGCAGCAAGCTTAGAACCAACCTCGACAGGAGTGAGAACCGGATTGCAATTAGTCATTTGAGCCCGGTGAAGTATATCAGCCGCGTAGTTTTGTTGATGTAAAAATAGACCTTGAGCATCGCGGGAAACAGAAATGCCAAGAAAGTGATGGAGAGTACCAAGATCAGTCATCTCGAATTCAGAACTTAGACGATCAATAATCGTTTGAAGAAGACTTGGTTGCGAGGCGGTTAAGACGATGTCATCAACGTAAAGAAGCAAGTAAGCGATGGCTGTACCAGTGGAGAGAATAAAGAGAGATGAATCAGACTTGCTTTCTTTGAAACCAATCTTCTTAGCATAGGCGGCGAACCGAGAGAACCAAGCCCGAGGACCTTGCTTAAGCCCGTATAAAGAACGCTTTAGAAGACATACATGATCAGGTTTAGTCGGGTCGACGAATCCCGGAGGTTGATACATATAGACCGTCTCTTCAAGGTCACCATGGAGGAAGGCATTTTTAACGTCGAGTTGGTGAAGCGGCCAGTCACGAGCAGTAGCCACGTCAAGAACCATCCGAATGGTAGCCGGTTTGACCACCGGGCTGAATGTCTCGTCACAATCGACACCAATTTGTTGAGACCGTCCATTAGCAACAAGACGGGCCTTGTAACGAGCAAGGGTACCGTCAGCCTTGAATTTATGCCTGAAAATCTACATAGAACGAATGATATTAGTAGCAACTGGACGGGGCACAAGGTCCCACGTACCACTTTTAATTTGAGCTTTATATTCCTCCGTCATGGCATTATGCCAACGACCATCCTTGGCTGCTTGAATATGTGACAGTGGAAGGGGAGAAATAGAAGTATCGGTGTGAAGACACAATGGTTGTCGTGGTTTGAAGATACCACTTTTGCTACGAGTTTGCATTGGATGAGTAGAAGTAGAAGAAGAAGTCTGAGAAGGAATTACCATAGGAGGATTAGAGATTGTAGGAGGAGATGGCGACGAAGAAGGTGATGGTGAAGGAGGAGGAGAAGGTAATGGTGATGGTGGAGGAGGAGGAGACGGCTGAGCAAGACGAGGACGAATGATGGGCGGAATGGCCACGTCGTCGGGTTTAGATGGAGGAGAGTCGGAAATAGAGAAAGGAAAAACAGACTCGTTGAACGTAACATGGCGGGAGAGTATGACACGTCGGGTAGTGAGATCAAGACACCGATAGCCGCGGTGATCGGTAGGGTAGCCCAAGAAGACACACGGAGTGGAGCGGGGAGCCAACTTGTGAAGAGAAGTCGGCAACATGTTCGGGTAACAAAGACAACCGAAAGTACGGAGGTGCGAGTATCGTGCTTCTTTGTTAAACAACTTGGTGAAGGGAACGTCGTCATGAATCGCAGAAGATGGGAGAAGGTTGATGATGTGGACAGCCGTATGTAAAGCCTCGACCCAATATGCCAGTGGCATTGATGCTTGGATAAGAAGCGTACGAATGAGGTTGTTGATGGTACGAAGCATACGTTCAGCACGGCCATTTTGTTGTGATGTGTAACGGCACGAAAAACGGAATTGCATCCCCATGGAATCCATGTATTGATGAAACGCCCGATTGTCATACTCTCCACCATTGTCACATTGTAACATTTTGATTTTGGAATGAAATTGAGTCTGCACATAAGTAGAAAAATGAATAAATTTGGACAAAGTATCACTTTTACGATGTAAAGGATAGATCCAAACGAAATGAGAAAAATGGTCGAGAAAAATAAGATAATATTTGATCCCACTAATACTCGGAATTGGTGAAGTCCAAATATCAGAATGCACAATATCAAAAGGACGAAAAACTGTAGTAGTAGAAGAAAAGAAAGGTTGTCTAACATGTTTCCCAAGTTGACAAGCTTGACACAAATCCGTCAAAGCAGTCTTATTAGAATGTAAAGAGAGAGAGAATAGAGAATGTGTTTAAGAGTAGAAGAAGAGCAATGACCCAAACGACGATGCCAAAGAGATCCGTCAACAGAAGACACGGAGAGAGCAAGAGGCAGAGAAGTATTTGTAGAGGAAGGAACCGCATATAGAGGACCGGAGCTGTCACATCGGAGAAGTTTGTTCCGAGTACGTAGATCCTTAATAACAAAACCAAAAGGATCAAACTCAATAGAACAAGAATTATCTGTAACAAATTTACGAACAGAAAGTAGATTTTTAATGATGGAAGGACAAACGAGAACATTGTTTAGTTGAAAAGATTGAGAATGAGTGATTAGATTTCCCTGTCCAACAGTCGTGATTCGAGCCAAGGATCCGTTGCCAACGGTAAGAGCAGGTATAAAGCTCAAATTAAAAGTAGGACGGAGGTTACCTGCGCTAGAAGCGATGTGATTAGTCGCGCCACTGTCCATGTACCACTGAGCATCCGTCGGATCTTGGAGAGACATAGTATTGAAAGCATGAGTGATTTGAGCCGGAAGCAATGTGTGTTGTGGTGGTGAGGGAGACATGAGATGAGAGGTGTGGGATTCATAATGCGGCCTTAGTGGTGTAGGACCAAGAAGACCAGGCTGCATCATGGAGACATGACGAGGAGGAGCTGAGTAGCCGGAGTATCCATGAAATGGAGGAGGTGGTGCAGAAGCGTAAGGAGGAGAAGGCCATGATGGATAAGGAGGCTGCCAATAATTGTTGTTGTAGAAACGACCTCCACGACCTCGATATCCGCGACCGCCACGGCCACGACCACGATTGCCACGGTTGCCACGATTGCCACCATAATTAGAATTATTGGAGTAGGAGTGGTTACCGGAACCGTGAGTAGAAGGATGATTCTGGGATGGCTCCGATGAAGTGTAGAGAAGAGTAGGTGAAGAAGAAGAAGCAGAAGGAGGAGCGCTACTAGGGACAGACCTCACGTGCTTCGATAGTCGATCTTCCTCGCTTTGTAGCATCGACCGTGTTTCAATGAAACCCGGAAAAGGCGATTTATGTTTGATGACGTTGATGATACTATCAAACTTGTCTGACAAGCCATTGAGGATGTGCATCACTAAGACACGTTCGGAGATCGGTGAATCAACATTCGCAAGGAGATCGGAGATGGACTTGAGCTTCTTACAATATTCATGAACAGATAGATCTCCAATAACTGTGGTTCGCAGTTCATTCTCTAATTGCATAGCGCGTGCTTCCTTGTTATCACGAAACAAGCTTTCGATGGCAGTCCAAAGGTCATGAGCGGAGCACTTTGGTTTGAGAACAGTTTCGAGGATGGACTCCGTAATTGTCCCGTAGATCCACATCTTGACAAGATCGTTGTGTTCCTTCCATGACTTTTCAGTTTCCGGTGTGGAGGAGGAGGTGCCGTCAATGTGACCAAGAACACCAAAACTGCTACAATGTGTTTCAAAAAGCTCTCTCCATGTATCATAATTGAGTTTGGTCATGTCAAGAGTGATGGGTACGTAAGCTTTGATTTGGCTTATAGAGAATGGTTTGTCATTGGTGGGAGGAGTAAGGGCCATCGTTGAGAATAGAGAGAATTAGAGATGAATAACAAGAAAGAGGATTGCTTTGAGGAAGAAGGAAGATGAAGAGAAAAGGATGAAGAAGAAGGGAGACGAAAAGATGAAAAAGAAGGGAGATGAAGAGAGAAAGAGGAGACGAAAAGAGTGTTTTTAGAAGAGCAAAGGCTCTGATACCATATTGGATAATGAATTGCCGTGTCTCCTCTCATATTAGAGACATCAATATATAGAGTTACAAAGATTACTAGGGTATACATCAAAGGGTAGAGATGGAAATATACATATCCTAACAATAACACCATGTAGTTGTAGGTTTTTATTATGTACAAAACCTCCATAAATCAGGGAAATAACTCCTTGTTTTTTCCCTTCCATCTTTAAGTATAAAACTGTGACCATTATCATCTACATAGCACTAGTGTGCATGTATTGTCATATATATTCATCTTTCATCTTCTTCACTTTTTTCACTATTTCCAGAGATCAATCTGACAACTCGAAGAAGTAGAAGCAGCATGAGAATTTGTATACTCATCTCTCATTTCAACAACCCTTTCAGAATCATTCTCCGGCAAATTTATTCCCTCATCTATCACTTGATAAACCGGGTTTCTTGTGTCAATCTTGACGTTGTTTTGATGAGAAGAGGTAGAAGCCTCGGCTGCAGCCTCTTCATTGCTAAGCTGTGAAGCAACAAATTTATCGAAAACTCTCCAATCAGTAGTCATTTGCTCTACTCCTTGATCGTAATAAAGAGTGCTGAAACTTTGATTCCCTTGTTGCAATTGTTCCTCATGAGAGATATTTGATGATTTCTGCAACTTACCAATATTTCTTGTGTTATTGTTGTTGTTAGAGTTGCAATTACTAGTAGGGCTTTCGAGCTGAGGAAGCTGGAGGAACATAGATTCACGCAGATGATGGTTTTGTTGCTGATGTTGTACCATGTGATTGTAATGTAACTCGAGCTCTTGCTTGCATTGCAAGTTAGGGTTGTTGTTGTTGTTGAATGCATAAGCTGAAGACGCATTGAGGCCACAAGGTAATGTCTGCTGGTGATGGTGATGGTGGCGATTATAATAATGATTGGGAAGAAACTGTCGTGGAGAACTAGAATCAAGCTCGGAGGCCATAAAAGAGAGCTGATCATCGTACCAATGCGATGGTGATGAATTGTAATCTCCCATTTTCCTCACTGTCGCTGCCAATTTCTTCTTGAAAACCCTACATACCACCCATCCTTCTTCCTACACACATCACATAAAAAGATCTCATTTACAACATCGCAAATGCACTTACTTGTCTATCATATATGTGTATTTTCTTCCTTGTATAAGTAGATAGTTTAGTGACCAATGAAATTAGAATTTGGATATGGTGACAAGTTCTAAATTTTTAGTAACAGTCATGCTATGAAATATATGTTTATGAAAGTTTTTAGTGAGTTGAACAATGCACATTTGGATATATTGGACATAGAAGTTATGTGTCTTAATGTGAACTACGCCAATGCATTTTAAGAGACATACTTAAGAAATATTATATATACAGGGAAGCTTAATCCCATATGGGTTAAGATGTTTTAGCTTGGATCAATGTATATACCTGAGGGGTTCCATTTTCATTTGTTTCTAAGCGATATTCGTGCATTATCCAATCAGATTTCTGTCCATTTGGGGCTCTTCCTTTGTAAAACACAAGTGTCTTCCTCATACCGATAAGACTATGTCTTATATATATAGCCTTGTCTCTTCCGGTGGCTTTCCAGAATCCTGCTTTCGTCGCTCTATTGGTTCGAGTTCCTGTAGGATACTTCTTGTCTTTATGGCTAAAGAAGTACCATTCGCTTTGCTCTTCGTTTCCTATCTTGCATAACTCTAAATTATCACAAGAAAAAAAAAACAATAATCGTAAGCCTTAATTTATATCAAAACAAGGAACATCACTAAAGAGAGTTGATAGCATATTCTGGCCAAACCTTGAAGATCCCATGGCTCAATCTTGTAAAGATCAACGTCATTGATGAAATCGATTTCTATTCTCTTCGATGCTACTTTTTTCCTCAAGTAGTAGTCAACAAGTTCTTCATCAGTAGGATGAAATCTGAAGCCCGGAGGTACTTGTGAAAACGAATTCATTATTTATTTCTTTATTTCTCCGTACGTATTGAGACTAGCCTGTTTATGATATGAAACAACGACTGTTAAGTTATGGATCATGAAAGTAAATGTTAGACGAACTCACTTCATTTACCAATAAAAAAAAAAAATATTTGCACCGGCAAACTAATAAGAAGGAAAATGTCAATGGAAATTAAGAAAAACAGTTTTTCGTTTCCAAGATTTTGTTTAATATATGATCGTTTCATTTAACTTAGCCAGAAACTACTTAGGGTTATCTTTCCGGCTTATATATCATTTAAGACATTCATGTGGTAGTAGTTTGTGGGAAGAAGAAACATATCTATACATTTTTTTAAAAAGAAAATCACTTGATATATTAAGCCCATTAAATGGGAATAGATTCAAAGGACGCTTGAAGATGGAATAAGGATACATAAAATTACATCACTACTAGTTTCCAATTAACCATGATTTCCCATATTTCTAATTACCAATAGCCCATATATGTTAGATTAACTGATAATAGGATTTTAAGTATCAGTAAATAAAGTCAAAGAAAAGTATGAGAAATATCTATAGGATGATGATCATTCTTTAAGAGAATCATTCTGTAAATTAAATCACCAAACGAAAAGCAGAATATATTATGTAAAAACCTAGCCCACGATCGAGTCTCTTAAAGATGATATTTTGCTTAGCTTGTACCATCAGCAACATTGAGTAGGACGAGAGAGGACGATGATCATGATCATTATAATTATGCTAATAATTAAAAAAATCAACAATTATCAAGAAAAATAAAATGGTAAATATCTGTGGAAATATCTGACGATAAAAATACCCAAAAACATAGAGAAAAGATTGGATTAAAGATGGAGTAGAATCTTCAAAAGGAAGATAGGGTATATACCTCAAAAAACTCTAAAACAGGCTGATGCAACTCAACCCCTTCAAAAACCTCAGGATTTGTGTTATTGTATATAACTAGCTAGATCCTATTGAATCTTCCTCTTGTACTTGGAAAAATCCAACACTTCATGAAATACACTATAAAGTACTCAGAACTAGAGAGAGAGAGAGAGAATCCTAAAAGGAGAGGTTATGCAAATGGAAAAGATTTGACAGTTATCATCGGGAATAACCACCGGAAAGAGATCAGATCCCAAGAGTACGTCAGAGATATTAAGAGAGAGGATGGGAGAAAGGAAAGAGAGTAGGGTTAAATAAAGAAGATCAGACAATGAGATGATGATGAAGAAGAATATGAAAGAGAGAGAAGACACAAGAAAAAGTAGACAACCGTGTCCTAATAATCTATACTACTTTGTCTCTCTCTCTGTCCCTGTCCTTCTCAATCATTGTCTCTCTATGTCCTTTATGAAACCGAGTGAGAGAGAGAGAGAGACTTTATTTGTTGCAAAAGCTTTGGGAGAAAAGAGAGATGAATAAGGTTTTGATACTCAAGCAAGATTTTGATAGAGAAAGAGAGCGGCAACCTCCATTACCACCTACCAGCCCTTGATGGAGACGGTCCAAAGTTAAAAGAAAAAAAAAATTCTTTTTTTATGAACGATTGAACAATTATCCCTTTTTATAAACACAACAAATTTTGGTATGATTTCCGATGCAGCTAGTCAGATTTTTTTTTTTTTTTAATATGGATTTTCCTAAAATTAAATAGAATTGTGTTAACAACGCATGAGAGAGTGATCATGAATAAATGAGGTTAGATTGGTTACTATAGTTTTTGTTTACCAGTGACTAGTGTATAGTTGAAATGAACTGATGGGATAATCTAAGTCGTCTTTGGTATTTGTGGAATTCAAAGAAAAGGTTCGAAAGACTTCAAAAGTCATTTTTAGTTAAATCTTTTTTTTTTCAACAGCTTTTAATTAAAATTCAAAAGAACCATTTCTGAGGAATGTTGTTTACATAAATGATATGATGCGGTGCGGTACGAATTTTTCGTGCCAAATTATCCGCTTTTACATTTGCACTACAAGAGATTAAAGATAAAGAAAAGCTTGAAAATTTCTCTTTGTCGATCTTGAAATCTTCCAAATATACTGAAAAGGCCAGCCATTCGGTTGGGGAAGACATCATCTTCACCATATCTGAACAGTCTGTATAAAAATCTACATTTTGGTTGTCGGCTCCAATCATACACTTCATCGCCCAGAGAAGAGCTTCCACTTCGGTATGTAGAGGTGAGAGACTTCTTCGGATATTGGCTGCTCCTATGGTTGGCGTCTCTCCATTTGATGATGTGCAGAACCACCCTGTTTCTGAAAATTTATCAGTCCCTTTCCATAATCCATCCACGAAACAACGATATCCGGAGTAAGTAGTATCATGTGAAATATCTCGCACTCGAACTCGGGATTCGCAGTTTGAGGGACCATGATTTTCATTAATAAGCTCGATTTGAGCTAACCGCCACGATTGCACCTCTTTTTCCGCTAATCGTAAAATCTCCAAAGGGTCTTTATCCACATTTTCAAAGATCTTTTCATTTCTAGCTTTTCAAATATACCAAATTATCCATGAAAATGAAGATGAATCCACCTCTGAAGGAATTCTCCAAAAAAGATGATCCAAATTCGCATAAACTGAAGCTGTTGGGAAACTATCTGGGGCTGTAGGAATCTGAGATAATGCCCAAATTTGTCTCGCTGGATGACACTCAAAAAGTGTATGATTAATTGATTCCTCTATCGCACCACATCTGCTACATCATGTATCACAATTTATACCTCTTTTCTGCAGATTTTTTATAACAGATACGCACCCCGATAGAATTTGCCACATAAAATGACGTAACTTAGGCGGACACTGCACCTTCCAAGTATATGCTTTTAAAGTCTCTTTAAGAATATGAATGTGTTACATACTACTATTATATATATATATATATATATATATATTGTATTCATAGAATCCTTAATTATTGTCAAAGTGCGTGTATCTTCTTGAAGACTAACCCGTTAAATATACAGTATATACTTGCAAAAAGGTATTTAATGTGCTCTATAAACTGCTACGTAGATGTATATATATATGTATATATAGGGCACATATTCTCTTTGAACATTTTCATCCCTTGGCGTCTTCAAAAGTAATCTCATATACGTTCTATATTCTATAAGACTTAACTCGGTCATGTTCTACGGTCCAAATTCGTAGTAAATGTTAACATGAATGTCTAAGAATCCTCGAGAAACATCGCATAATTACATTGAGACTTTCGTATGTTCTTTTTACATTGAGACTGTCTAAGAGCATCTCCAATGGTTAAGAACTAATTGGTTCTTAAGCTTGGATCTTAACAATTATTTATATTAAAATTTTGCTATTTCTAAGTTAAGAATGAAATGAGAGTATCTTAATAAATTAGTCTTCTAATGGTTAAGAACCAATTGGTTCTTAAGAAAAAAAAATTCAAATTTTTGTAGATTGAAGCAAGACTGGAACATCTATGACAATGTTTGTAGATTGTGAAACTCAATCCAACGGTTCCATAACTAGGTTAGATTTTCTCACCAAATCAAATTGAATTTTCTACAATAAAACTGGAACAATTGGGTTTATAGATCTCACAAACATCAGAGAGAGAACATATTATACAAATCAAAGGAAACTTACAATAAGAAACGAAACTAAATGAGGAAGATCAAAGAAAGAAGCTTACTTGAGATGAAGAAGAAGAAGTCTGAGAGATCAATTACCAGTTTCTCAAACAGATCAATTACCAATTCTCAATCTGACCACATCAATTCTTACTGTTCTACACATCAAACGGATCATAGAATTCTAATTTTACATTACCCTAATCCCAATTCTAAGAACCCTAATTTTGCATTACCGTAATCCCAACTTTAAGAACCCTGATGATAACAACGGATCATAGACGGATTTTGCATTACCGTAATCCTAGTTCGACGGAACCACCGGAATCAAAGAGATCGCACACCCTCATTTTTGTCGACAAAAGTCTCTCTCTCGACAGAGATGAAAAACGCAAAAAAAAAAAAAAACACAACTCAATAATTTTTTTTTTTGGTTTTGTTTTTTCTTTCCTCCACTCAGATGCTGACACGTAACAACATCTTAACCTTAAGAAAAAATCTAAGCTAAGATATAAATCTTAGCTTATTAATCTGTTTTGAATTATTTTTTTGTGTTTAATCCTAAGATATTTAGTTAAGATATACTCTAAGATATGCCATTGGAGATGCTCTTACCCTCCAGTTATAAGAAATTCCACATATCAATTTTTTTCTACAGTATAACAATTCTTACATTTAATTATTCTCAATTTCATGGTATTGTGAACCAGTGGTACTATGGTAGTGTCCATAAACATAACCCATTGCGTATATAATTGTTAGTTTGCCTAACTAATGGAAGCAGTGAGATTAATATATATCCTTGTTTTTATCTTATGAAGCCAAAGAAAAGTATCTAATTTTCTGAACAGAAGTTTAGCCAAATTATTTCAAAAATATTTTATATAGATGAAAAAATCTTTTTTTTTTTTTTTTTTCGCCATATAGATGAAAAAATCAGATGTTGAATTTGAGCCAGTATTAGTGGAATCAAGGGCCCGCCATCAATTGGAATGTGATGACGTGGCGGCTGATGGTCCGGCGTGAGATAGGCTTCGATCATTAATCTCACAATTTTCTGTTCGGTCATGTTGGTCCCATCCCGTTATCCCGTTCTTATTTGTGAAACTTCTGAATATAACAACACACATTTTCGAAAGTTTAAATCATTAATATTAGAAGTCAAAAAAAAAAATCAGTGGTAGTAATATTAATTTGCTTCTATTTAATAAGAACATACATGTGTCTGTTATTAAAAATAAAAAAAAAAAAAACAACTTCCGTTTCCATGACCATAGTTTGAATGCCATGTCAAATGTCCTCTATTAGTTTTGTTTTTATCTTACATTTTTTGGTCTATAATTGCAAAACACATTGCTTAACGAAGTGCTAATGTTTTTAATTACTGTATATTGATTTCTTGTTACGATTGGATGTCATTAGCTTATAAAAGTAATTTGCATGGTTATTCATATACTATTGGATTTTAAGAAACATTTCAAAGTTCATAAGGAAACTGATTTTGGTTGCTTTCTATACTAACTAATGTTCTCTAGAGAATTGGTTGACAGTTAAACTTTCACTTCAACACTCTTCTCACTGGATAAATATTTTAGTAACTAATTACCAAAATAATATTTTTAGATCTAAATTAGGTAAGTTACGTTATATTTAGCCTATAGATTATAGTACAACTTTAGGTAAGTTTATCTATATTGGGACTTTAGGGCAAAGTTTGTTTTCAGCGAAATTTATTAATAAAATTTGGAAAATGGGCATTGAGATTTTTATCTATTTCTTTATTTCGTGTTGTTGAAACGAAGTATAGAAGTAAAGCAAAAGTAAAGTGCGTGATCCTAAAAAGTGTCAATTTTTTTCTTGTTAAAGAAAAAAAAATTGTCTTTTTTTTGTCCCACCTTGCCTCTTGCCGATTCCTATATGACATCTCGATTAAAAATTGTTTGACTGTGATCAATATTGTATACATGAATTGGAGCTTATATTTTGATATAAATTTATATAAACAATCGGCCACAAACCACTATATATGTCTTACTATTATTTATCTTTATGCTGATAAAATGTTTGAGTAGTCTATTATTACAACGGAGATGAGTACAATGGGTAGTAAAGTTTGCTATGACAAATTTATGTTCATTTTGTGAAAAGATTCTAAGTTTTGTTGAGTCCCTATTGGCCACCTACCGTAAGTGGAACATAGAAAAACATTAGAACAACAAGACTTTATTATGTTTTATTTTAAAGTAGTCGCTTATTTGGTAAATAACCAAATGCTTAGTTAAAATTGGCAAAACAAAATTATGGTGGCAAACCTGTAACTAAACTAAACCATGCTTTTCAATTTCAATTATCAGATTCTATAACACCATGCATAATTTAGAATGACAGATTGAGTAACAATGTATTGTGTTTGCAATTATGTATATTCTATTAAAATTCATAAATGGATAACATCACAGATAATTTTCTCAGATATATTAATTTTATTCTTCCCATTTTCTCTTCCACTTAAAATTTATAATTATGCATTATTGCCATTTTGGTAAAAGAAAATGTCAAAAATCTTTTCATATAGATTCTGCTAAAATTGCATGTTACCATTATGAATTAGATAGTATAATACATACACAGATTTATAGTTTAATATGCACACACAATGTTATTATTTAGAGGTTTGTATTCTAGAAGAAGAATTTCCAGATATATCTAAAGGAAAATTTTGTACCATGAAGAGGGCCATATTAGGATATAATGTCTTTCATCGGAAGTTGAAAGGGATCCTAAGTAATATATAAGGGATATGGGCCACTCCACTCATTATCAATTGGTTTTGAGTTGGAAGTCCATATTCTAATAGGCCACACTTGTTGAGTCATGCCCAATTACATATGTTTTTTTAAAGACTAAAATATATAGAGTTAATAATTTTGTAATACAATGTAAAAAATGGACTAGACAACCAATTATACTATTCTACATACGCATGACAAAGGTGGCAGAAGTTTGGTAATTTCACCTATATATAATTAAATTCTGAATACCAACTAGTATATCTTAAATATATACATTATTCGATGCACCATTAAGTAATTAAGGTCTAATGAATAACATGAATCTTAATCTTTTTATACATATTCGTCGGCTATGCATCAAATGTTTAAAACACTGATAATTGGTCCAGTCGTGTAAACAAGATATATAGTTCTTCATTTCGTCCAAAAAGAAAAAGAAAAACGAAAAAGAAGTT